ATTAACATCTAAAATCTGCCCAGTAGTTATTTGTTTTTGACTTTCTTGACATACTACTCTTTTAACAGTCCCACCAATACCATCACAGGGGGATTTACCATGACTGGTAGCAAAAAATACCCATTCAGCATTTAAATCAAAGTCTTTACTGTGATGACAAGGATTGATAAAATTTTTAAAATTTTTAAATTGTTCTCTATAAAATAAAGTACAACTGTATAAAGTGAGCATTGACTTTTGCTCCAGTGATAACTTTGAACCTCATCCTGAACAACATATTGATAGTTTTCAGCAAAATCTCCTAAAATTAAGCATTCGTTTTGGTTAAGATTTTCTTTACAGTTTTTTAAGTATCTACTTTGTGTTTTTGCAATATATGAATGAGTGGTAAGGTTGTCAATACTGTCACATAATAAATCAATAAATTCATCTAGTGGCAATGACTGTGAAAGTAGTGTTGTACGATCTGTACTCTGCCATTGGTTTAATACTACCTCTTCTTCATGCTCATGGTCCATAAACTCCTGCACTAAAAAACTTTTTAACGCTTCAATACCAGGACATTGGTTACATCGATGCAACATACATTCTGTATTTTCAAGAGAGCAAACAATCAATGCCATGAAATCTTTATAACTTTTATTCCACCTAATGGCATCAATGAGAAATTTTGTATTTTGGTGATGTATGCAAACACATACATTGTGGGTACCTGACGCATTAGTTGTAATACACCATTTAGGTTTAAGAGTACAAAACTTTGACAAACTGACTTTGACGTTAGGGTAGTCTTTTTTAAATGCAACATGTAATTCATTAAGATTGAGTAGCAATAATCTTTTTTGAACATGTTGGTTTTTCTTAATACTTACATAATCTTTTTTTCCTGGCATCATTCTTGAAAATTCATCATTTTGATAAAAGTTAATCACTAAATTAACTGTTTCTGGTGAAAGTGGGTTTCCAGTTTTTTTCCCGGGTAATAATAGAATTCCATTCTCATTTTTAACTTTTCTTGCTGTTCGAACAGGATACTCAGACACTTCAAAGTAGCTTGATATCTTTTTACATGTCCATGATTTTGGTGCGAGTGTTAACATTTGCACCTTATGGCGATAAGAGTCAGTCTCTGAAATTTTATTTTTTGTTTCATACATTAAAATGTCTAGATCATGGTCTAGATCATGGTCTAGATCATGAGATTCCAAGCAATTCTATAGTGGTATCTAACTTAATTTTTTTCTCACTTTTTGATTCCCATTCCTCCTTTGAATTTAAATCTTCGTCAGTTTCTATTGCTTTTTTGTAACATTTACTGCAGAATTTCCTACCTGGGGTTACATAAACATTATTTTTTTGCAAATAGTTTGCCATGTCTATGGAAATCTTTATATTACCTAAAAAACAAATTTAGTTTTACGTTGTTAAGATAACTGAAATTATAAAACTAAAAATTATAAAAAATAAATTGTTTTCTTTTAACTTCTATATCAATTCTGTTGTAAATAAGGTAAGATTACCTTTTATAGCAATTTTTTTACTTTCCTTGTGTGTTCCAAAAGGATTGCAACACTTTGTAATTTTTCTCTTAAAATATTTTCCATAGAATTGCTCATGATAACAACATATAATTCTTATTGAACTATATTTTTCCTTTAAATTTGCTTGCCATATTATTTCTTCTTGTTTTTCACAAGGAAGATCTTTAAATTGAACAAAACCTTGTTTTCTTGAAAATCCAGTTTTTTGGCAATGAATGTTAAGACTTTTTCCAATATCACATTTCTCCATATTAATTATTTTTATTATTTATTACCTAACAAAATAATATAAAAACTTTAAAATTAAAAGTAATTCTTTAAGAAAATACAAACAAGTAAATACCTTTAAAAAGAACAAAACAAAACTTATGTTTGTTTTTTATATAAAAGGAGTTTTTAAGTCACCAATTTGAAATAATGAAATTTTTTTTTTTCAAAATTAAAATTAAATTGTATGTTTTTGCATTATTTATTCATTTTATGCAAAAAAAAAATCTAGGGAGATTGGGGGAGGGGACGTAGGGGCCTCCCGTGGGAGTGGAGGGTATCTCCCTTGGCCCATGACTATAAATGTCCAAAACTATTCAATAAATGACACTATTTGATGTTTTATTCAAATAAATGTTTTAAAAAATATTTTAATTGCTTTTGTTACAAAAATTAAATTTTTTTAAAAAGACACCATTTTTAAATGCAAATTTTGATCACCTATTAGAGAGACAATTGATGAATCTAATTTTTTTCAGTAGACTTAAGATGAAATAATGATATACAATTAAAATTTTTACTCGGGATTTTGGGCCGCAGTCTTTATTTTACCTCCAAAAATCACTAATTTACAAGTCAATAATTTTGAACAAAATTTGGATAAATGAGGCACTTCTTGAGATAATCGAGTCTTAAGAGTGCTATTTTTGGATTCCTCAAGTTAAAATCTATTAGAGTACCAAATTTTAGGAAATTTCCCCAAGCCATTATGAAGATACTATATGTCAAAGTTGCTTTGTAGTCGCTTCAGAAAATCACTAAAATGCTGAGTCAGCATTATTTCAAGTGACAATATCTATGGAACCCATTGGTATTTTTAACTAAAATTTTCGCAGTTATTATTTTTTTGATATGGACTGCAAGTGGTGTAAAAATAAACAAATTCTGAGACGTAAGGGTGTCATGGTCTGGATGATTTCATATATTTTTACCCTACACCTTAAAATTGCCCGAGTTCAGTCACCATGTAACTTGGGTCAAAAAATATAAAAAAATCCTGCAAAACTCAAATTTTACAAACTTTTTTTTTTCTACTAATATTTTTTTACTCCTTTGTAAATATGAATCTATAAAAGTAATTATGTCTATTTAAAACCTGCTGAAAAAATTCTTTAGCACAGCAATTCGAAAAAAGGCATACTATTAAAATATAAAATAAGTAAATTATTAAAATAAATGATCAAATTTATTTTAGTATTATTAAGAATCACCAAATTAAGTATAATTGCGTTATAATGTTACTTTGGATAAACAACAAATGAGACAATTAGCAGTGAAATGTTGATGAGTGAAAAATGCGATTTTATGAATATCACAACTAGTGTTGCGAGTTTAAAATTTATTGGTAACTTTACCTATAAATTTACCAGAAAATTTTGACATTTTTATAATGGATACTCACCAAGATATTTTGTTTAAATAAAGAATTTTTTATAATTTCAAAATTAACCTATTTTAAAATAAAATTTACTAGATTTTACCAACTTTTTTTGATGTTAATTTACTAACTTTTTTTTAATGTAAATTTACTGGTAAATTTACATTAAAATCTGGCCGGTCAACAGTCAACGACCGCCCAAAATGACTAAAATTTCTGTTTTGACCTTCCAAAATGAGTTCTTGCCAATCAAAATGGTTGTTTGAAAAAAAATCAGAGTTTTGACAAATAATCAGGATGGAATTTGGAAAATGCACGTACTCAAATTTCATAAAATCATTTAAGTTTTGAAAATGTTTTTAAAATAGTTTCATTGTTTATGATTTGTTTTACTTTAATTCACTTCATTAATGAATATTAAATATGATATAAACTTTTTTTTTTTGCTTAACTTATTTTTAAATTACTTTTATTATACTGGTGGTAAAAATCCTTCTTTCATAAATGCTAGAAGTTCTTATTTTATTGTTTTAATAAAAATATTTAATACATCATTTTAATCATAATATTTATTTTGTATATTTTTAACAACTACTTTACTTTAACGTCATTAATTTTGAAGATTGGATATTAATCTTATTTTGTTATTGTTGCTCGTAACTAAGAAGATTTTCTCTTCCAACTGTACTTTGTTTATTTTTTTGATTCTTTTTATTTAATTTACTTGTAGGTTTTATTTAATTTTCTCCATTTTGCGAAATCATTGCAATGAATATTATTAAATAAATTTAAAGTTATATATGCGTCTTTGCACATTTATTTGTTTTTTATTAATGAAGGAATCAGATGAAGCATATATTAAAAAATATATTTATAGTAAAAGCATTTTACATTTAACATAACTGTTATAGTAGCATTACACAAAGTATTTCTTTTAGAAATAAGTATTCAATTTAAATTTTTAATATTTTATAAAAATTGTTTTGATATTAAAAAAAAAAATTAAAATTAAAATTGTTTGGATGGTATCAAAATTCTTTTTTTAATTAAATGGAAATCTGTGTGTCTGAAATTTATTTAAACTATTAACATTAGCTGGTAATTTGAATGTTAGTTATTTTCCATTTAAAAATGCCTTGATTTTGTTTTAAATTATTATTTTAAAAGAAATACAAATTCATTAATTTTCAAGTATTAATTGTTATTTTTGTATATATAAAACTCAGTCATGAAGAACTATTATTAAAAGAAAGAAAAAATAAAAAATAAAAGTTTTGACCATATAAAATAAACAGTTGACCATCATATCCATGTATTAGCCAATCAAATTGATGTTTAATCTTCAAATTTTTTTTCCACGCTGTATATTGCAGTCAATTTGGAGAACAGTAGGAAATAAAAAAGCATTTAAAATAAACAATAAAACCAATTCTGATGGCTAATAATTTAGCGAAAAAACCTCTTTACTTATCAAATTATATAAAAAGAAGTTTGTTTCAATCTGCAGTAATTATTTAAAGTTATTTTTATACACATTATAAGAATTAAATTTTCAACTGTCTGTTTATACCTACCTGTTGTATTATATTTCAATCTCAAAAATACTATTTGCTCTTTAATAGCAGAATTAGTTTCTCTACCTGTAGTTTTATTCTTCATTATATACAAATCCTATTCTATAATTAAAAATTATTTGTTATTCTAAATGATTCATTTTTAAAATTTAGAATGAGTTTTAAAGATGAAATCATTTTCAGAATAATGTTCTGTCAATGTCACTCTACAAATGACATTGAATGCTATATTATTTTCAGGTTGAGGCACGAATCATTCATATTGATCCGAATACCAAAAAAATTGGTGTTACACTGTTGCCAGAGTTGATCAAGTTTCCTAAGAATATTTTATCTAATCATCATTCTGTTGGAGAAGTTCTTGAATGTCAAGTAGTTCGCTCTGATTCTTCAAGTGGTCTTTATATGAAAATGTCTGAAAATACCTATGGTTATGTACACATTTCACAAACAAATGATAATCGCACAACTAAGTTGGGTAAAACATTTAAAGTTGGCACAACACACAAGTAAGTTTGTTTTTTGTCAAGATGTTATAAGTTATACACGCACATTTTTATTATTCTAAAATGTTGTAATTTTTTTTTAATTTACTTTTATAAAAAAGCATGTTACATACTATCCTAAAAACATGTTATATTTTATCTATTAAAAGTATCATAGTTGAGACTGCATGTAGTTTTGAGGTTAATTTTTTTTAAATTATTGCATAAAGCTGTAAAACAATTAATATTTTATACATGTTACTTTGTTTCCGTACGAAATACAGTAACTAAGAGTGTGGTTTGAGTGTGATTGCATTGCATAGTGTGTTTTATGTTTGATTACGATGCAAGTTTTTATTGCAACACAGGTTGCGATTTTTTTTAATTTTTTTTTTTGAGAATTAACATTAAAAAATACATTTTTTGATGTTAATTGCAGTCATTATTAGTTGGAAAATTTTTTTTTTTTTAATCTTTTACCTGTATTAAATTGGGTTTTTTTATCTAAATTTATTTGTTGCGAAAAATTATTATTAGAACACATTTATCATAAGATTTAATAGATATAAAGCTAAAGCTTCTTTTTTTTACCTAATTTTTTCAGATTAAACTTACTCAAAATATAGACCTAAAAATAATCATTTTATATGAATTTTTATTTGTATAGATGCAGAGTACTTGGTTTTAGTGCAATGGATTCTGCGTACACACTTACTATGAAAAAGTAAGCTCTTTAAAATAAAAAAGTTATATAAAAATGCTTTATTAGTTTATGTAGTTTTTATTTTGTATTGTGTCATCACTAGAATAATGGCTTTCTTTGCCCTTCTCAAAAATCAGCAATTTAAAAATAAGCACAATAAATATAAATATAAAGTTTTAAAATATTAATATCTTTTTGTAGATTGTTTTTTTATAAATTCTATCAGGGTTATTAACATTTTTTTGAAATTGTAAATAGTTTGTTCATTGTTAAGATTACCTGTGTAATATGCAAAACGTATTACATAGAAATTAAATATTATAATGTGATAGTTTTATGTTAATTAGTTTCAGTAGTCTTGTAATAATGTATCAAATTATTACAAGATAAGTAAAATGTTAAAAAATATTCAAAATAAATAACTAAAATAAAAATATATTGTTTCTGTTAATATTGCTATATAATTTAACAAAAATGAAAAAAAGTATTTAAAAAAATTCTTAAGAAGTTTAATAAAGTTTTTAATATCTTAGGAGTTGAACTACTAGCTATATTGGTTTAACATTTGGTTTAATGTTGGTTTAAAGATGTATTTTTTTAATTTGTTTAACATAATATTTTTGTTTTATTCTTGATCATGAATTTCATTTTTTAAGGTCAATCTTAGAAAAACAGTTTCTCTCATATGAAGATCTAAAACCAGGAATGCTCATATCTGTAAGTATAAAAAAATTGTGAAAAGTTCGTTATACATGCATGTGGGTTGCCCACAATGCTTTTGTAAAGGTTTTTGTTGAAACTGTAAAATTACTGTATTGCAGCAGCTGGAAGTTCACATGTAAGTTTTTATTATTTAAAGGTGTTTTTGTAAATTTTTTTTGTTTTTTTTTTGTCTTGAAGATTTTTTAAATTCTAAAAAACTTTTCAAGGGTACAATAGTGACATTAGAAGATTTTGGTTGTATAATTAAAATAACTGATAACATTAAAGCTTTATGTCCGAGATTGCATTTAGCTGATATTAATTTGAAACACCCTGAGAAAAAATTTGTGGAAGGAAAAAAATTGCATTTCAGGGTAACTATTTTATAATAAGTACATAAATGTTAAATAAAATTTAACATAACCTATTTAAAAGTTTAATGATCAAATTTTGTGACATTTTATAAACTTTTTTTGGATTAGGTCTTGAGATGTAAACCATCTGAACGATCATTAATTGTAACTCACAAAAAAACCCTTGTGAATTCTATGTTTCCTATTGTTTCATCCTATAATGTCGATGTTGGCACTGTTGCTCATGGTTTCGTAACTGCTGTAAAATCTTTTGGGGTTTTTGTTGCATTTTATAACAATGTTAAGGCTTTGTTACCAAAATCTGAAAGCAGGTAAGTAAAAAAATTCCTACTTTAAATGGTTTAGTTTAATTTTTATAAACTAGATAACAAATCTTAATTATTTCATTTTTAATTGAAATAATTAAGATTTGTTATCTAGTTTATAGATAAAAATGCATTGAATATGTTTTTCAACAATACAATTTTCATTGTATCAACATATTCATATCAACATGTTGCATTAATACAAATCAACATTGCTACAAGCTAAAATTATTTTTTTATAACTTTAATTATAAAAAAATAAACATAAATAATATATTTATATATAAAGAGTACAAAAGTAAAAATTTTGGCAACAATAGTTTGCTATATTATATATTATATAATAATTATTGTTTATTATAGATTGGCTCCAGGTGCAACAGTTGAAACTAACTTTTACATAGGCCAGGTTTTGCAATGTACAGTTATATCCGTTGATGCATCTGCTGAAAAAATGGTTGTTTCCCTCAAGGTAAGAAAAAACATTTTTCCTATATATATATATATATATATATATATATATATATATATATATATATATATATATATATATATATATATATATATATATATATATATACATATATATATACATATATATATACATATATATATATATATATATATATATATATATATATATATATATATATATATATATATATATATATATATATATATATATATATATATATACAGGCTTCGGCAGGAATGACGGGCTATAGCCCGTGTCCGTCTCCGCACCCGTCCAAGTCAGTTTAGACGGGCGAAATAAAGCCCGTCTGAAACATAAGTTTTGTGTAAAAAAAAAGATGAATATTTTGATGTTTTTTTTATTAAGATACTCTTTTAAAACTTCTCTCATGACATAGTTTTAATATGGATAGCAAACTCCAACTTATAATTTTTTATATTTAAATATAAAAATTAAACAATTTAATCATTATTGTATAACATGATGTAGAAAATAATATAACTAAATCTTACAGTTTTTTAAACGACGATAACTGTTTGATATAATACCAAACAATTACCATATTATGTTCAAAATTTAATAACTATTATATTAAATAGGGAAATATACACATGTGATGCACAAGAAGTATCATGTTGTTTTAGTTTTTCAATGTTTATAATAATAACGATAATAAACTAATTATCCATGTATTTCGCTTTTTTCGGATAAACTAGTTTGTCTTACTTTAAAGACATTTAAAGTGATATTTCCGCGTTAACTTCCGCGTTAACTTCACGTTTTTTCTTAAAGAGACGGCAGTTTATTTAATATGCCTTTAGTCTCCTGACAATGCTTATGACAGATCAAAGACTGCGTATTAATCACAAAACACTTAACGCTGTCTTGGCTATTAAAATAAATGATCCAAATTTTACCAATAGTGACAGAGAAAATGTTATTGAACGTGTTACTGATGTTTTTTTACAAAAACAACAAACAGCTATTTTTGATCCGATCAGCTTAAGACTTGCTACAAAAGAAAATGACAAAAAAGAAGACATAGATTTCATTGAATCAGATTTAAGCAGTGAAAGTGAATTGGAAATATCAGAATCGAGTGGAAGTGAAGAAACTGAGTTAGATTTTGAAATTGAAGAAGTTTTGCCCTAATTTTTGTGAAACAATTATTAATAAATAAAATATAACTATACACGTTTCCTTTTTTATCCTATGTATAAAAAAATATAAATACATTTGTCTTCATATTTTCTTTGTTATACTAACACTATTTAACGCATTTAAATTCAATATAAATATATTTTACAACAATAAATCTGGTATCTATAATAAAACTGAATTCAAGCTTGTTGGATAAAAGTCAACAAGCGGTTGAATTCAATCTTTTTTTCATTTATATAACGCTTATATACATGCTTAAATTGTATATAAAGTAACGGAAGCCCAGGTATCTTAAGAAATTATTAGTACTTCTAAATAAAAACTTATTTTATTAAAAGAAATTAGATTTCAAATTTTTTATTTACGTATCAGAATAACTATTTCCGATCAGGATAGGCATAGGTAAAGCAAAGTTATAAAAATATAAATAGCAGTTTAAGTTTTTAATTTGCACGCCCAATAGAATGCAAGAGTATATAAATAATTGAATTTGAAAAATAACATAGTTACGTATCATATTACCAAGATAATACCAAACAATTCTAAAACTATCAAGCTCATTGATTCAAGGTTTAAAAAAAAAAAAGATTTCAAACTATTTGCTGAATAATTAAAAAAATTAGATTTTGAAAATATTATGTAATATTTTTATTCACAAAGAATAAGAGAAACGAATGAACTAAAAAAGCACGATAAAAACATGTATAATTTAATCGAATACTTGAATAAAACAATAATATATAAATATACTCAAAAAGACTTCGGTAAAAAAACACGTTAGGATGCTTGAATAAGGAAACGTGATGAAACCCCATGGTTGTTTCGAGGATTTTTCCCGTCGTTTTCACGTTCATTCGTTTGACTATATCTGCCAGATATTATCTGGAATGAAGATTAAAAAAAACAACATAAAAAACTGAATAAAGTTCCTTCGAGTAAGAAATCTAAACAAAAGCAACCATAAAACAACTAACCCACGTGAAACGAAATTAGATCTGTGCAAGTGAAAACTTTAAAAAACAATTATTGAAATCTTAGTTTTAAGTATTATCCAACTCATTTACTGCAGTGTTTTAATTACTTAAGTAATTAAGCATTTTAAACAGTTAATCGCTTTCTAACATATTATTTTAGTGCAATTCACAAAATGTTTAATATTCAATGACATTTTCATTCAAAAAGAAGAAGAGAAATTAACAAATTTAAAAAAAAAAAAGTTCAAACTTTAGAATTTTTTTTAAAGTTTAAAAAAGCCAGTGCAAGACCATCTAGACGGGCGGCCCTCATAGCCCGCCAAGTCTATTTAAGACGGGCTTTTCATAGCCCGTATGGTTTTTAATCCTGCCGAAGCCTCTATATATATATATATATATATATATATATATATATATATATATATATATATATATATGTATATATATATATATATATATATATATATATATATGTATATATATATATATATATATACACATATACATATACACATATACATATACACATATATACATATACACATATACATATACACATATATACATATACACATATATACATATACACATATACACATATATACATATATACATATATACATATATACATATATACATATATACATATATACATATATACATATATACATATATATATATATATATATATATATATATATATATATATATATATATATATATATATATATATATATATATATATATATACATACATATATATATATACATATACATATACACATATATACATATACACATATTTAATAATACAAGTATTATTAAATAGAAAAATACAACTTTATAATGGAACTAAAAGTTTCATGCCTATTGGCAATCTTCAGCCATATATATTATACAAATCAAGAAAAAAACTGTTAAAAAATACAAAAACAGCAGTAGAATGAGTTCTGACATCAAAACAAAACAAATAAAAAAGAAGCATAGTTGTAAAACTGCTAATCACCAGTGTCAAATTGGGCAAGAAGAAATTTGTTTTTATGCCTGCACTTAGATATTATTTCACTCTTTTTATTTAACAAATTTGGGTGTTTAAAAAATAAAATTTTGTACTTTTCGTTTATGCATAAGTTACATCGTTTTGTTACAGGGTTATAGGCATCGCACTGTGTGTGTGTATATATATATATATATATATATATATATATATATATATATATATATATATATATATATATATATATATATATATATATATATATATATATATATATATATATATATATATATATATATATACTCTTGCATGGTAGTTAAAAAGAGTTTCCCATAAACTGTAGTTTTAAAGAGCGCGTTAATAAACCAGACCAGAAAAAGTTTAAAAACTTAAATTTTTTTTTTTTTTTAAATGATAGACTGCCTGCCCAAACCAAACCCTCAGTCGATGTAGCAGCACTCCCTTGCAAGTCAGGCTATTTGTCAGTCGTTGTAGCAGCACTCCCTTGCGAGTCAGGCTATTTGTCAGTCGATGTAGCAGCACTCCCTTGCGAGTCAGGCTATTTGTCAGTTGATGTAGCAGCACTCCGTTGCGAGTCAGGCTATAAGATAGTCGATGTAGCAACATTTACGCATGTTTTAAAAATGTTTTTTAATAAAACAAAAACACTACAAATTAAAAAAAACTTTCTAGTCGTTATAATTGCGGTTTTTTAAAAATTTTTTTAAAAGACAATAAAATTTAATGTACTTCCGCATTAATTTAATTGCTTTGATATTTCGACGACAATCAAATACAGCTTAAGAGACGAGGTAATTAAAATTGTAGTCGTAAGAGACTTTTTTTACATTAAACGACTCTTTCGACTACACTATAAGGATATATATATATATATACATATATATATATATATATATATATATATATATATACATATATATATATATATATATATATATATATATATATATATATATATATATATATATATATATATATATATATATATATATATATATATTGAATCGTTAAACTTTAAACTGTTAAGTGAATAAGTCCTCTTATTTTTCAGTAATACATGTTTGAATATTATATACTGAAACCTGGTTCAAACATTGTAACTGAAACATGGTTCAAACATCAATCAGAAATCTTCTTGTAAAATGTTCTTGTAAGTTCTTGTAAGTTGATTAATAAAATGATTTGATCTTTTGAATATTTCAGCACAACGATCCATTTATTCAAGAGAAGTTAACAATCAATCAAGAGAAAGCATTGGAAATAGGAGATGTAAAATATTTACAAAATTTAAAGTTAGTATTTTGTTTATTAGTTATGCATTTTTTGTAAGTAAAATAATTTTATTCTTAGGTTGTTCATGGCCATTTCGAAAAACTTTCTGGGGACATTATAAACGTTAAGTTGGAAAACAATTTATTGGTTAACATAAATCAAAAACATTTATCTGATTTTGAAATCATTAATGAACAATGGGCTAATATTTTAAAAACAGCTTCTAATGACCTTCAATTTCAAGATTTGTTTGTATATGAAAAGGATAAAAAATTACAGACATTTGTATCTTTTCATATTTTTTTTTTTATTTTTTTTTTATAGAAAATAAAATGTTATAAGCATTAGATTATGATTTTGTTTTATCTCTTTATAAATTTATTAAATCTTTGGTGATTTTATTGAATCTTTTCATGATTTTATTAATCTTATTCTAAATTTCTTGTTGAATACTTTAACTTATAAAGAACACTTCACTTAAACAAGTCATTCATGGAAGAAAGATAACAAGTTTCAATGAATTAAAGGTTTGTGTATATCATAAAATTGTTTTTTTTTTTAAAAGAATTTAACAATATTTTTTGCATGTACTCTTTTGGATTGGTAAAGGTTGGTATGGTTTTTGGAGGTACTGTATCTCATGTCATGTCATATGGGTTGTTCGTTTGCATCTCTCCTGGAGTTAATGGATTAGTTCCTAATGGTGTAAGTTCTAATTTTTTATCATATAGATGTGTAAATTTTAAGTAAATTTATATTAAAAATTTTAAATTTATAAAAAAGCGGAACTTTTATTTTATATTTTTAATTGAAGCATAAATTAATTTTATTTAAGCATTTGGCTGATAATTAAATATTTTCAATTGAAGCATAAATTAATTTTATTTAAGCATTTGGCTGATAATTATATATCTGATCCATCAGAGATGTACAGTGTTCATCAATCTTTGATAGTTAAGGTAAAGAGTTTCTTTTAAATACATACATATATATATATATATATATATATATATATATATATATATATATATATATATATATATATATATATATATATATATATATATATATATATATCTGGCTTATGCTATTGACATTTCTAAACCTTTTGATAAAGTTTGGCATGCTGGTTTTCTCTATAAGTTTGCTTCATATATTGTATCTGGAAAAAAATTTGAGATAATCAAATAATTTATTCTAAACTTTATTAAAGTCATCCACGAAGACCAACACACTTTTTCATTTCTAGTAACTTCTGGGCTTCATCCTTTGTTCTGAGTTGTTTACATTAATGATCTTCTTTAAAATCGTGCATTCAAAGCATTTGCTGATGATTCAACTTTATACTACTGTCTTGAAAAGAAGTCTTCTTTTTTCAATTGGTTAGTACAAGCAGCCGATCTTCAATCTTATTTCTCTTCACAGCTTAAGCTGGGGACTTGCATTGGCTTGTGGAATTAAACACTAACAAAAATCAGTTACTTAATGCAATATTGTAACATTCCTATATTGATGTATGGCAACCCTCCCATGGAATCCTTACATCATTATCATTCTCTGCTGACCTTACATAAAAACTATATATACAATCAATTGAATTTAGCATCTGCTAAAGTGTGTTTGCCAGGAAAAAATGTACTCAGCGTTTTTGGGATATTGGGAATTTAGGTGTGACAAATTAAAAAGCAAAAATAGAAAAAATAAAGTGAAAAAGAAAAGGTTATTACATTTTGAAATTTAAGCAAATTAAATTTCCACATAAAAGTTTAAGCAAAATAAAGGTTCCACATATATAGAAAATGTTGAACGTTTTTTAAATACATGAATATCTTTGAAATGATTGTTTTTGGTGGGTTGTATTCACAGCAGGAATAATTTTGCGCGCATCCCTTTTAAATACAGTTTTGCAAAGTTTAAATGTTTATTTACATATATTGTCTTCTTTTATTTTCATTTTTATAAACGTAAAAAAAAATAGTATTAAGTTTTTATCAAACGATGGTTGCACGGAAAGTTTTTAAATTTTTAAGTTTTTAGGTACTTTAGTGTTTTAAAACTTAAATATTCAAAATATTTTTAGTATTATAAAACTAAAAGTTTAAAAATAGTTTTGAAAATATTTTGAACTTTTTTACATAGATATTCGTATTTTTGTTAATCTAATTTTTTATTATAGTTTTTATCATGGAATAAATTTTTGTGTAAATTTTAAGTAAATTTATAGTGATTTAAAAAGGATTTAAATATTTAAGGCTTTAAAATGTCTAAATTCAAAAAAATAATAATAATAATTTTTGTATTTATAAACATTGTTTTTGTAAATTAAAGTTTTACATTTGTAAATAGAAAAATATAGATTATATAAAATAAATTTGTTGCAGTAAATCTGGTAAATTTGAATTAATTTACCTCTTGGTATATATTCTTTTAAAAATGCCATAAAGTTTTTTTGTATTTAAAGACCAAAAAGATGCAATTTAAAAACATAAAAAACTTTAAAATAGTAAAAGTAAAAATATGATTTTTGACTTAAGAAAATATTTCAAGAGTGATATTAACCAAAATGTGAAATTTAGAAAATAAGCTTCAAAAAACAAAATTTATAAATACTAGAAGAATAATAATCAAAAATGTTAGGCAGTGATATATTTTGTTGAACATAAGAAAAACCAAAACAGAAAGTAACAAAAATAAAGTTAGTAAGTCTAAAAGAAAGAATTTGTTATTAAAAGGTTAAAAAATAAAACAAAATTGTTAGCTATATTAGAAAAAATAAAAGTGTTCAAGAAAAAAAACTGGTGTTAATCTTTTTGTTCCGAAAGCATTGGAAAACCTTAATTTTATCAAATTTGCAATAAGTTTAACTGCACTTTTATTTCTAAACAATATATTTTTTGACAGAAAATGTATTGTATAACAGAAATATATTATTTAAAACTGTATTATCCAACTTTTAAATCTTATTTAGCAATTTGACTCTTAATAGAATATTGACATTAATGTCAGCAAGTTTTCTTGAAGCTCAGGTTTAGAACTTGTATTTTTCAATACAACATTTCCATATTAATATCAATAAAACACTAAATCTCATTATAAAGCATTTAAATAAACTATAAAAGCGTGTGTGCTTTTTTATCTATATTTTTTTTTTAGGTTTTAGCAAGATCCACAGATTGCTATTGGCTAATAGTGGTATAAATTAAATAATAGGGTATCGTTTTGCTTTCATCACACAAATATTAAATAAATTAAAAGTAAGGTTTCTGGGAAGGAAATGCAGACAAACAACTCAAAAATGTATAATAACAATACAAGTTATTCAGTTTTCAATACAAACTCTCAATAACTTTTAAATTCTTGTTTAGTGTTTGAATTTTTAAAAGCTGATTACAATAAAAGTTTTCATTTTGATCAGTTAGTTTAAATTTGACATTTTAAAGCCTGAGTACTTCAAGTTTTTATTTTTATCAGCAGTTTTCTTGAGCTGAAATAGAAAGTTTGATAATTTGCTGGTCCTAGAAAGTCATAAAAGTAGAAAATAGAGATTTATTAAACAATAAAAGCATATTTTCATGTTCGTATAAAGAAGGTCTAAATGATACATAAAAAATCAACAAAAAAATCAAATTTCTTTGTTTTAATGATTTTAAATATTATTTGCATCAATGTTAATATTATTTTCATTCTTTTCAACTATAAAATCTACAAAATATAAACTTTTTGTTTAAATATATAATTTAAAAATTTAAATTTCTTCTAATGATGCTCTTTCTCTTTTAGACAATGTCCAAAAACACATTTTAAATGTAGTTGGACCAGTCTATCTGCTAAGTTGGATCCAGTCTATCTGCTTGAGTCTCTTTCTCATTGTCACAAAGTTGCATCTCTTTCTCTTTTCTACAAATACTACCATGGTTGCTGCTCAAAGGAGCTTTTATCACTAGTTCCATCAGCTAAAACTCATTTTTGCTTGTCATTCATCAAAGTCTCATTCTTTTACTCTATCTGTCCCTGCATGCTCTAAAAACCTTTGCTGCAAAAGACAAAAGTGGTGCAAAGAATATTTGTATTGGGACAAAGTGATTTGGAGTGATGATTCAAATTTTTAGGTTGTGAACCACAAAAGAAGAATATATGTTAAAAGATTTTCAACTGAGAAACATTGTGAGCGCTATATACCAATATATCGACAAAAACACTTAATAAGGCAATTATCAATAAGGCAATCATATGGCAGAAGCAATTAATACATCTCCTAGCAAGACAAGGCTCCAGCACACATAGCACATAGTATAACACACTTGTTTAACACAAAGAAGATCAATTTGTTGTCTTGTTGCCCTAGATCACCAGATATCAACCCAATAGAATATATTTGATCATGGATTGGCACTCAATTGGTAAACCATCAAATTTAATCAACTGAGTGTTCGAAGCAACTTCTGAATGAGTATCGGTTAAAAAATTTTTCCTAGAATATTAAATATTCTAGGAACAAAAATTGGGTGACAGTAACTCCCGTTGCAGCAGACTTAAGAGAAAAATCTGTATTTTTTTGGAGATAATTGCCATAAAAAAATCTTTAAAAAAAAAAAAGGTCCTCAATTTTTAATTTGGGCGGCGCCCAAATACAGTAGACACTGTCAAAAACAGTCTAGAATAGCCCCTGATATATATATATATATATATATATATATATATATTATATATATATATATATATATATATATATATATATATATATATATATATATATATATATATATATATATATATATATATATATATATATATATGTTATATTATATGTTTTAGGTAATAGAAATAGATGCAGAAAAAAATCGATTTTTACTGACTGCAAAGCCATCTTTGTTACTGAAAGAAGAAGGAGGTCCTATAAATGTGGCAATGTCTACAAATAATTTATTACATAGTTATTTAATGCAGAGAAAAAATTTACATGTGTCTTGTTCCTATTCTGAAGGTTTGTTCATCATATATATATATACACTTTTATTTTATTTATATTATTATTCATGCTCCTAGAAAAACAAAAAGAATAATTTAAAAAAAATTGTATCTATAATTACAATATTGATATGTAAAAAGATGAAGACAAATATTCTTGCATTAAAGTTAAACATAATCAAACCATAACCTGAAAAAAGAAATAAAAACTTGAAAAAATAAACTAAAAAATGAAAATCTTAACGAAGTTAAGATTCTTATATTTAGTTTATTTTTGATGTCTTTTTCTTTTTGATTAAAAAAATGTATACATTAAATAAAACTATGTCTTTTTTTAATTTAAAAGTGTTTCACTTTAAAAAGATCAAAGTTTTAAAGTTATATAATCTAAGCTTAATAAGATGAAAACTTAATTATTTAAAAGTTTGAAACGTTGATATTTTCTTATGTCTACTTAGCAAATAAAACATAAAAAGAAAATGATTTGTTAAAATGATATAACCCTGCATCTAATAACAAAATACTAATTCTCACTTATTTATACATAATCCTCACTTATTCATACAGTTTCAAAGTTGACCTGCTTTAATATTAATTTTTTGGTTTTCTTTTTATTAGATAAAGAAGTTCAAGTTCTTCCCAGTTTAATAGGCGAGGTCATTTTAACAAAGGTGATAAAGTTCTCTTACGCAACTTTTTTCTTAACTTTTTATTTTCAGTTTTATAAGATCAAGTTTTTTATTTTTAAATTTTATATTGATATGTAAGTAATTATTTAAAAATTATTTAAAAAATTTTAAGGTTTCTGCTATATCAAAAGAAGAAGTTTTGGTAACATATCATGACATACATAGTGAATTACTTTTGAAAGGAGTTGTATCATCAGTTGGTATAGTTTTTTTTGTTTTTGTTTTTTTAATTAAGCTATTATAAAAAAATAGATCTTTAAAATCTTCTGTTTTAAATAAATTCAGGAAAGTATATGTTAAAAATAGTAATTATGTATTCTTCAAAATTTATTTGTAATATTTTTGAGAGTTAGGAGTAAAAATATGTGAGTTATATTATTAAATGACCTGTGGTTATGAGCAGACAAATTAAATGCATTTTAAAACATTTTTAAAGGTTTTGTAAGTTGATGGTTTTGTAAGTCTAAGTTTTATGAGTGTAGTTAAATATTTGTGGCTTTTTTTCCACAATTTTGTGTTTTGGACAGATTTTATTACAGCCATTTGTATATACAGTACAGCTTACAAGACTTACATGAATATTAGAGCTATGACTTTCAGACCTTTTATAAATTTAATTGATTTCCTATATATCATCATTTAAGTTTTGTTAAAAGTTTTATGTTTTAAGAGCATTTTGCATAAAGATTTATTATTTAACTTTGTTTATTTAAATTAAATAAACGATTTTATTTCAACCGCCTTAGAGAATGGTAAACCTGTTGTTGTTTTTTTGGATTTCACCAGGGCATTTGACACAGTGCCCCATAAAAGATTGTTGCTTAAACTGAGAGCTTATGGAATATCTGGTCTGACAATACAATGAATTGAAGCATTTTTAAAAGAAAGAAAACAAAGAGTTACGAAAATGTATCATCTTGGGCAGAAATTACCAGTGGTGTGCCACAGGGATCAGTAATTAGACCACTCTTGTATGTAATAATCAAAAACAATTTGCCTGAAACTCTAAAAAACCTAACCAAGCTGTATGCAGATGACACCAAAATTTTGAATGAAATGCTTTCCAGTGCATCAACTCTTTCTTTGCAGATCTTGATTTAGCTTTTAAGTGGACTCAAGACTGGCTTGTGTCAAGACTAGAGGACTGGCTTATCAAGACTGGCTTGTGAAATTTAATATGGTCATGCACTATGGCTGAAATAACAAAAAAATCACCCCTTTATATCAATGAACAAAAGTTAAACATAACAAAATATGAAAAAGATCTTGGAATAATCTTCTCAAGCAGTCTGAAATGAAAAAGTCATATAATAAAATGGGTAGGAAAAGCCAACCAAATGTTGGGTCAGATTAGAAAATGATTTGTTCATTTAGATGTTAGACTGCTGAGAATACTTTATGTTTCTTTTGTGCAAATACTGTTAGAGTTTGCAGTTACCTATTACTGTTAGAGTTAGGTAACCTATTCGAAAGGAGAAATTGATTTATTAGAAAGAGTCCAATATCATGTAACTCAATACCATCACTTAACAAAATCAACTATGACAATTGTCTAAAGACTTATGACTTGACTACCTTGACAAAAAGGAGACGTTAATACCACACTCACTGGCTCTCACAATTACTAATACTAATACTAACTTATGGAACATGGGATCACCATGGTTACAATTCTAGTTTATATAGTTATTAGCTTTGTAAGCTCACAGATAATTATTGTTTAACATTGCAAACATTAATTCAAATTAATTCAATTTTCTATGTACCTATCTATTTGTTTCTTAGATCATGATTTGGAAGTTGGTGATGAATGCCAGCTTATTGTTGTGGATATTGATCTTTCAAAAAAGTTGTTTTATGGATTTGGAGAAAAAAATGCAATTGCTGCTTATTTAAACAAAAAAACAACAAAGGTATATAATTTTATTATTTAATTTTTTACCATTTTACTTATGAAATTAAATTTTAAACATATTATAATTTTTATTTATTATATCTTTTATTACTTATCTTAACTAAGTCTTAAATCAATGCAAATTAATATTAAAATTTATTTGTTGTACTAAGGATTTTTTATATCTAACATTAAAAAAGTTTATTAAAAAAATTTGGGGATGCTTTCTTTAGTTTCATTAATTTTTTTAAATTTTGATTTTTTTTATGCATCCATTTAATTTTATTTTTATCTTAGTTCAAACCTGATGTTAAAATGAAAGGAACAGTTGTTTATGCAAATAGCTTTCTAATCGCAGTTGTGATAGCAGACATGAACTTTACGCTAGCTTATGCTTTTCCTAAAATGGTAAGTCAAGTAAAAGTATTTACTTTAAAACTCTTTACTTTAAAAGTACTCTTTACTATAATTTATTTGTATTTTTTTGAAATATTTTTGAGAATCATAATTGTTTTTTATTTCAATTTCATGTTTATTTTAAATTTTGATCTCAGAACAAAAAATTTTTATTTTAGCATTTAAATGATGTACTCAAACAACCAGTTCCAATTCAAAGTGTAGTTGCTGTTACTTATTTAGAGTAAAGATTTTTTTTATATAATAAATTAAACACATCATTTGGCTTGTATAGTTAATATTTGAAATTTAGTTTCAGTTTAACTAGAATAAAAAAAAGAAAAAAATTATATAAATTGAATAGTAGTATATGTTCAACAAGGTTGTAAAATCCGTATCCACATTGTTTTAACATATTTCATTTTTACATATGTACAATCTGTTCATTCATTAAAAGATTTTTGCTTTTGTGTTCCTTTTTTGAACTGTTTCTCATGACATGCAATGATTTTATATTTATTAGAGAAATAAAATTTAAGTAGTAGTAGTTGGGTTATTAAATTTATTTAACAATAAAATTATTTGTGATGAAGATTGTGATCGTAAAGTTAAATGTACAATGGAGTTTGAAAGAATGTCTTGACTATGTATTTGCCAACAAAAATAGCAAATGCATTTTTTTTTTTTAATATTGTTTTCAAAACAATATTTGTTTTGAAAACAGCAAGTGCTTTGAAAATTTGTAAAAAGAAAAAATCTAACACTAACAAGAAAACAAAGATATTTTTTTTTTTATAACAAATCAGAAACATGTAGTTTTCATGTATGTCTTCATCTATTAAGCTGGCGCAGAAGTATTCTTAATACATTGTTTCCAGTTTAGGATGTTGAATGTGGATCTTCTTGACTTGATGCATTGGTTTTGCTTGTGTCTCTGTTTTTATGACTAGGCAACTCATTCTATTATCTCCTAATGAAGGTACAGCTCTAAAACTCAGTTTTATGGTTTTGAGGCCAGCTGGTAGTCAGGTTTCCTGAACTATGTGGTAGCTCTTAGAGAGGCTGATTCCATCAACAACTGTAAAATATCAAAGTACTAACAGTGCCATGTTGCGCATGGATGGTATCCTGGTTTGTACTTTCGGTGTGCATTGCCAAAGCCACATTGGAGCCCTTTGTTACGACTCAGGGTTTATTAATAGTAATGAGGCAATTGCTTGGGCTATGAAACAGTGTACTGAGTACTATCTATGTATTGAGTCAAGTTCTTTAGCTAGTTTAAAAATGAATAAAGTAACAAAAACTATAAAACACAAAAAACCACAGTCATCACCAAGTTTTTGTGATCTTAGTGTTGATGGTTATCTTTCACAAGGTTATGTAAGAAACACATTTGTCTTCCTGTTGACAAAGGCTGGCATGGAATCCTTTATTCCCTCTAGACAATACCAGGTCAAGCCTCACTCTTCTTTATGGTTTTCCTCACATTGTGCTGCTGCAATAGGGTACCGTTTTGGTGACGTCAGATTGTTTGTTTGTCCGAATATCAATCCCACAACTACTAGCGTTTTCAAGAAATTCTATTGTTTCTGTGCAATGTTTGTCCGCATTTCGATCCCAAAAAGCTTTGCAAAAATCTATTTCTAGAACCGTAATGGTACCCTATTGCCAATCAAAACCATTACTTCCATATCTATCAGCAAAACAATTCTCCACAAAACAGATGTTTCTTTATTACTGCTAGGAACTATTGTAAAAATGTTTTGTCTAACACCAAAGCCTGCTATTCTCAGATTGTAAATCTCGTGTTTCATCACAAAAATTAGGCTCTCGTGACTTCTGGAGAATCTTTAATAGTATCAATAATAAGAGCAAGTCTGTAATTCCACCTCTTTTGTATGGTTCAGACTTTGTCACCTCACCTAAGGACAAAGCTGAATTGTTTGTTAAGAACTTTTTATCAATATCATCTCTTGACTCCCATAGTTGCGTTCTACCTGATATAGCCGTCAAACAGGTTGATCCATTGCTCAATATCCCTATCACTCCAGCCTCTGTATCTAAAGTGATTTCCTGCTTAGTCTCTTCTACAGCTTGCGGGCCAGACAACATACCTGTTATAGTCTTGTGGAAGTGTTCTCCGGAGCTGTCGTTTATCCTTTCAAAACTATTCAACAAGTGCTTATCAGAGTCTTGTTTTCCAGCCTGCTGGAAAGCAGCATCTGTTATCCCTATTTTTAAAAATTCTAAAGAGCAATCTAATTCGTCGAACTACCGTCCCATTAGTCTTCTCCCTATCATAAGCAAGGTTTTTAAATCTTTAGTTAACAAACACTTTCTTCTTATGGTGTATCTGGAAATGTCTTTAAGATTATTGAATCCTTCCTTTCCAATTGTATTATAAAAGTTATCCTTGAAGGACAGCACACCTCTTCTTATTATGTAACCTCAGGGGTTCCTCAAGGTTCAATCCTTGCCCCTATACTCTTTTTAATTTACATTAACGATCTTCCAGATATTCTCACATCTAAGGTGGCATTGTTCGCTGATGATACTACCATTTATTCTTGTCACGATAAAAAGCCAACTCTCTCTCTGATTGCTTGCAGAGGGGGCATTTGAGCTTGAAAAGAATCTCACTCCTGCTACAGCATGGGGCTCACAGTGGCTGGTGAACTTTAATTCAGATAAAACTCAATTTTTTTTGGCCAATCGTTATCGCAATAGTTTAGACCTTCCTATATTTATGAACTGTAATGTACTCGATGAGTCTCCTACCCTTCATCTTCTAGGATTAACTCTCACTTCTGATCTTTCTTGGAAGCCTTATATCAAATCCGTTGCAAAATTAGCATCTGCTAAAGTTGCATCTCTTTATCGAGCTCGTCACTTTCTTACTCTGGATTCTATTCTTTATCTCTATAAATCTCAAATCCGTTCTTGTATGGAATACTGTTGCCATATCTGGGGCGGATCTTCTAATGATGCCCTTTCTCTTTTAGACAAGGTGCAAAAATGCATTGTAAACATAGTTGGACCTGCTCTTGCAGCCAACCTTCAACCTTTGTCACATTACTGTAATGTTGCTTCTCTTTCTCTTTTCTACAAATACTATAATGGGCACTGCTCAAAAGAGCTAGCATCTCTTGTGCCATCTACTAAAATTCATTCTCATGTTACTCGTCATTCAATTAAGTCTCATCCTTTTTCTGTTGCTGTTCTTAAGTACTCCAAAAATTCTTATTCATCTAGTTTTTTTCCTCGAACATCAGTTCTTCGGTATTCGCTTCCTTCATCTTGCTTTCCTGATTCATATAATTTGCAATCTTTCAAGTCATCTGTCAATCGTTATATTGCTCTACAATCTTCATCTTTTCTCTTCCAGTAACTTCCAATACTAATTAGTGGTTGATTGCTGCCTTGTTAGAAGCGAAGATGTTTAGCAAAAAAAAAAAAAAAAAGTAAGAACATAACTTTGCAAATTGTGTAATATAAATTAAGACTTGCTAATTTTATATACCATAAAAATTTGACTTTCACTTGAGGAAGGAATTCACCTCTAATAAATAACCTGTGAACAAATTCTGAGGAAGCAGACCTTAAACAGCTCCCTCTAGTCATATCATGAAATATGTAGTTTAATTTTAAATCTTTTCATCAAAGTAAATATTTCAATGTGGCTTATTATCCGGTGCTATTATTTTTTTCCTACATTATGAATTAATTGAGATTTTTATTTTTTTCTAAATTTTATCTAATTTTCTTGGTTAAATGTTTTTACTTAACTGTGTTTTACATTTAATAAAATGTAAGCATAAATATTGTTATTATCAACAAACAACTTGTAGTTGTTTAAAATATTTATAGATTCAAAAAGGTTTTATATGATTATTCAAAATATTTTCTCAATTTTTATTTTTTCAACCTCTCCAGTTGATGCCTCTTATTAATTTGTGAAAAAATATATTTAGGATATATCAGTGCCTGGCCTAGACTAGGTTAAGAAAAGTTTAAAATGTTTTCAATATCATAAAAAAATTTATTTTAAACACAACTTAATAAAAAATAGTTTTTAATTTTTAAACTAAAAAAAATAGTTGTATATTTTTAAACTAAAAAAAATAGTTATATACTTTTAAACTAAAAAAAATTGTTATATATTTTTAAACTAAAAAAAATTGTTATATATTTTTAAACTAAAAAAATAGTTATATACAGTAGAATCCCGTTAACTTGGACTCCGAAGGGGTATATATTTATTGTCAGACTTAGCGAATGTCCGAATTAAGCAAAGCTCTCGTTAAGTCAGACTTTTTGAAAATGTCTGACTTATTGAGATTTGGACACGTAAAAATATGTATTTCACATAAAATTATATTGTTCTATATATATGTATTTAATATTTATATATCGAATGTTCTTCGATATATAAATATTAAATACATATATATAGAACTATATAATTTTATGTGAAATACATATTTTTATATATGAAATATATTTTTTAATTGAAAAAAAGTCCAAAATTAATGTTTGTTTCAGTGACTCGCACCATTCTTTTTCAAACAGCTTTGAAGCATTCAAACCTACTCTTCTAGTTTTACCACTATCAACTGCTTTACGAACTTCTTCAGTCGTTGGCTTTGTCACCGTTTCATTCGACGTTTCATGCTTTATCCAAATTTATGTTACATGCTTTATTCAAATCCTCATTTAGGGAGACAGGCCTCCGCACTCTTTTCGCAGAAGTTTTTTTATTTTTTTAACTTCTGAATATATTGTGTTTTTTTTCTTTTGACCATCCAGACAATGTTTGCCATATTTCTTTGATATAGATATTCTCCTTTGTTGAGTTCCTTTAGTATTTTGTAATTTTCTGTTGTAGTTTTACTTGATAGCTTACTTTGAGCAACTTTCGTCATTTTTAGTAGATAAAACTTGATCGAAGTATAACTGAATCGAAGATATTAGTGAAAATGTTTAGTTTGTTAAATTATGTTTGACGCAAAGGTAATTAATTTTCGAACGTTCTAAGTTTCAAATTTTAATTGATATTTTTGAGTTTTTAATGTAATAGTTACTAACAAATAGAATTTAATCGAAGCTTAACTGATTCAAAAGATCTCCATGAAAATGTTTAGCTATGTTTAATTATATTTGACGCAAAAGTATTTTATTTTCGAGCGTTTAAAGTTTGGAATTTTTATTGAAGTATTGAAAGTTTTGCTATTGTATGCACTTCTATGCAATTCAAAATAAAAGTCCTAGTTAAGCAAAGTTTTTTGCCAAAGGGACTTCAAAAAACAGTATGAGTTAGCAAATGGTCTGACTTAACCAGGGTACAACTTAAGCGAATGATTTTACAGTAAGTTGAAAGAGAATGTTCAAGGGGAATTGAATTTCCGTCCGACTTAGTAAAAGTCCGATTTACCCAGGGTCCGAGTTAACGGGATTCAACTGTATTTTTAAACTAAAAAAAAATATTTATATATTTTTAAATTAAAAAAAAAGTTATTTAATCAAAATGAGACATAAATTGTATATTTCATTTTTTTCAAGTCTGGTCTTATTGAACATATAATCTATAAGTAACATTATTCAACAATAAGTATATAATAAAGTTTTTAAAGTTAAATTGTTTTTGGTAAAACATTTTAATGAACAAATTTGTAAAGAAAACTATCTCGTAAGCATGATCAGACTTAGCCCTGGATTTAACATTAACATTGGATGTCCATAGCTCAAAGTCCTCTCTCAGCTACCTCATTTGTTTCTTGCATAATTTTTTTATGAGACTTAAATCCCAAGGAAATGTCTGGTCAGACTTTCTTGACCTTAAATGCAACTTGATATGGTTTCTTTCAGGTTTTACCTAACTAGGTACCTACCTCATTTTAAATGATGTATGTAACCAGGAACAGCTGTTTCTTTCAGGCTGTCTTTTTTAGGGGTTAGAAATAGTCCAGGAAGACTTTTGGCTGCTCTAGTTTAGATAATCATCTCTCCATGTTTTTTACAGTAGGAGGAGGATGAGGTGTTTTATGTACAAGAGTGTTTTTTTTTTTTTTTTTTTTTTTTTTTTAATGGATATTTTTCCTTTAATTTCCTTATAAACTTAAATTTAGTTCAAGCAAGTAATTTTGTTGTTGTTGGCAAATAAAAAGTTATTTTTTATTTTTTGATAAAAAAAAAGATCCAAAATGTTTGAATTGCACCTATGATTGGGAATAGGTCTGTTAAATAACTCAGATCTTAAAATCTCTATTAATCTATCATTGCCACCAGAAATAAAATGTAATTGCTTTATTTAATCATATGCATTTAAAAATAAAATATATTTTACAAAATTGAATTTACAGTGCAGGTGTTATAAATGATAAGGAACATTTTGTGGGCAAAATTATCTGCTAGATTTTTAGAGGTTTTCCCTAGTGTTTATGTTAAAGATCAATGTACTAAAATATATAAAAAATGATTGAATAGACGAAGCTGTATCAGCCAGAGTTGTGACTTTCAAATTTTAAAAAACAACATTTATTTTATAAAGTATTATTACTTGCTTTTGATTTAAGCTTCTTTTCATTTGGTTTGAACAAAGGCTGAAAAGTTTTGGTACCAAAAAAGCTATCAACATTAGTCTAGACATGGCTAGACTAATGTTGATAGCTTGTTGTTGTTGTTTTTAGGTTTAGGATTAATGAAATCCACCCTTTTAAAATTATTTTATTATTTTTTGTTTTTTTGTTTTTTTGTTTCATACAATAGACAAAATTATTTTATAAAATTATATTTTTAATTTAAATTGTTTTAAATTATTAATAATTTTAGAATTAGTTATTTAACCTATTTTAATTTTTATTTAAAATAAATTAATAATTATTAATTTTATCATAATTAATATTTTGATAAAAACTTTTTATAACAAAGATAAAAAATTCACTTGAAAATATTTTTTAATATTACGTATTTTTTTAAGCATAGTTTATGGAATCGGTATAATAATTATTTTTATTATTTTATAATTATTTTATTTTTGACTATTATAATATTAAAACCTGATTTATATTTTCTTATTTTTTGTTTAGACGTGTTGATGGAAAAGTTTTGGTTAAACTTGTATATGGTGATAATGAAAGTAATCCAGCCTTGGGTTCATTAGTATCTGCTGTGTAAGCTCTGTTTTTTTTAATTATATGAGCAGTAAAATTGTTGAATTACTTTAAATCATTATATTACATTAATTAAAAGTAATCAGTACATATAATTCAATAGCTTAAAGTAACATTATTTTGATTGTTCTTGAAGTGTTAAAGGTATCAAACCAGCACAACTGAGTGTAACATTAATGAATGGCCGTTTAAATGGAAGAATACACATATCAAATATTCATGACACAATAGAACAAGTATTGTTATTAGAATTTTTTTTCTTTTCAAGTTTTAATATTAAATTGTCAAATTTAAAATTTTGATATCAGCAATTTTTGTAAACTGCAGTATTGTAGATCTACCATATAGTATATGGTAGATTTTTTAAATGACTTTGGTAGAAACAAAAATATTTTTATGTGGGTTATAAAATAAAGTATAGCCTATATATGATGATAAGTTACTTGTAATTATTTAAAGTTTTGTTTTTCTTTAAAGGGTAAATCACCTCTAAAAGCTTTTAAGCCATTGCAAGTAGTAGAAGCTAAAGTGATTGGTTTTCGTGATTTACGCACACACAAGTAAGAATATTTCAAAATAAGAGTTTTAAAAGGATTTTTTAAAACAAAACATAAATTATAATTTTTGTTTAGTTATTTGCCAATATCACACACAAATATATCTCGATCAATGGTTGAGTTATCTTTAAAGCCCAGGTATTTTTTTAAAGTTTTGATAAATACTCCATAATGAACTAGTAATTAATCAAAAACAATAATGAAATTATTAGTTCTCTTGAATTTAGACTGTTATTCATTTAAATCACTTAATGTTAGTTTTTATATCTGAAGTTAGACACTAGTTAGGCAATCAAAATTAGGGTTGGCATTCAGCAACTGCTGACCTAAAAGTGTTTAAAGTTGCCAAGACAAGTTGTGTTCATTATAAAGAGAATGTTTAAAAATAATTTAAAAATAAATGAATACTAAGAAAAACTAACTAATTTTACTTGAAGTTCGCCATCTCCTTGTTAACATGTTGTTTCAAGTCTTTAAAATAAATGCCACAATTTGCAGACTACAATTTATTCAAGTGCGTTTTAATTCCAAAGAGTATATCGCGTCATTGTAAAATTTTGATAAGAAATCTTTGCATTAAAGATATGAATTAAATATTTCAGATATTTTAAGCTTGTTAATTGCTATAAATTATTTTTGTGTTATATTTTAATCTTAATAAATGATTATTATCCTTATTAAGATTCTGTTAAAATTAACAGCATTTATTTGCTAAACTTTTCATTGAGGACAAATATTCTCAAAATTCTTATTTAATCATGCGAGAATATATTGAAATTAATTCTGTAAAACATGTATTGCTTATTTTATTTTTGAAATTGAACAATTATTGGTTAAGATTGCAATGAAGTGTAGCATTATCAAGTCAATTTTTAAATTGAAATTGTTTATTAAAAAACTTTTTATTGTCAATTTTGGTAGTTTTTTGATTCGTAATGTTAAGGACAGGTTTTAATATAAAATACTTTAATATGTTTTTAAATGTACACTGTGACACATAGACAATTTTAATTGCCATCTGTCTTGAATTATTGCCTTAAAACATCAGTTATCTCTAATGGCAAATATCTTTAATAAATGATGTCGTTTACCAAAATTATTTATTAATTAAAAATTTAAGAATTTTTAAAATTTCATTTTAATAGAAGAACAAAAATGTCATAGCAATAAATGTCTTAGATAAACTAGGAAAAAAGTTCATAATGTTTACATAAAAAGAAATAAGATTCAGAATATATGATAAGGTGATCATCATCTTTTTTATATATTGATCATATTTAATCATAAAATCTTGATTTTGTTTATTTTAAATATTGATTCAAAAAAAAATTGATTTTTCAAAAAAAAAATCCTACAATGACATCATTTTTAATACTGAAACTCTTTGAAATTAAAAGTCTGTAGATTGTGGCATATATTTTAAAGACTTGAAACAACACGCTAACATGGAGGTAGTGAAGTAAAACTACTAAGATAGTATTTCTTGGTATACTATCATTATTTCCTTTTACTCAAAAAACTCAGCCCAAACATTTTTTTTTTTTTGTAATTCTCTTTAATATGAACACAACTTGTCTATGCACTTTAGTCACTTTGAATTTAGCAATAAATTGCCAACCTTGATCTTTTATGACCTTTAATAGAAACCATATACTGACTTTTCATGGTACTTATATATACAATAGATTGCTAAATTAGAATCCGCTAAGGTTGCTTCTCTTTATCGTGCTTGCCATTCTTTTACTCCTGATTCCATTCTCTACCTCTACAAATCTCTTATTCGTCCCTGTATGGAATACTGTTATATTTGGGCTGGTTCTTCTAATGATTGTCTTTTTCTTCTAGACAAGATCCAAAAGTGCATTGAAAATTAGTTGGATTTGCTTTACCTGCTAAATTTGAACCTATTTCCCATCATTGTATTTCTTTTTTCTACAAATACTATCATGGTCGCTGTTCTAAGGGGCTATTATCTCTAATTCCATCAACTAAAACTCACTCTTACTTGACTTGTCATTCAGCAAAACTTCATTTGTTTAATGTATCTGTCCCTGCATGCTCTTTGGAACTTTCTTCCATCTTCATATTTTCCTTACTCATACAACTTTTTAAGTCTTTTGTCAACTGTTTTGTTGCTCTGTAACTCAATTCTTATTTTCTAGTGACTCCCAACTTAATAGTGGTTGCTTGCAGTCTTGTTGGGAGTAAATCAGAATTTTAAAAAAATTTGGAAGTAAATCAGAATTTAAAAAAAAAATTATCAACCTTATTTTTCATAATTCTGACAGCTGGAGACTATTGGAAATTAATTGAAGGTATCAGTAAAGAAGGCTAGTTTAGTATTCAGCCTCTCTTGTATGGGCAGTGAAGAACCCAGACGTATTTTAGTACTGTTTTACTGGTATGGGCGCCCAAAAGATATTTTTTCTTTTAATTTTTTTTTGATTTTTTATAAAAAATAAATAAAAAATTTAGTTTTAAATGCAATAGTATATAAATAATAATCAGTTTAATTTAACTACCTCATTTTTTCTTCAAAATAAAAATAAAAACGAAATTGCCTTTTTACATAACTACGTGACGTAATTTGCCTTAGGTTATTAACTGGATATAACTTTTAAAAATAATGAAAGTCATTAGGAAACTTAATTTTAAAACCGCGTTGCAAAATTTTATAACAATGGAATGTATAAGAGATTTGTTTTTTTTTAAATTAAAGCGTTTTTAAAATATCCATTCTGCGTAAAGGTTAATTTTTCTTTTTGCCAATTAAGAGTAAACTACTTTTGATAACAAGTTTAATTTTTAAATGAATGAACTTTTGATCTTTAGCTTGCTATTTCAGTTTATGTGAGGAAAAGGAAAAAACTAGATATAAACTTTTTCAGGCAGTTTTTTTCCTTTCAATATTCTTTTTAAAATAATAAAAAAAAAGGTTTCAATAACTTAATAAAAGTTTTATTTAGATCTGTTTAAAATAACCCATAGTAAATGTAATTTATTTATTCAAATGTAATTTTTTAAATTATTCTTAATAATTTAAAAAATCCTTGACTCTACTCATAGAATTTTGCTTATGCCTCCTTGATAATGGCTATGCACCTCTTCTTGTTATCTCCATATGAGGGTACAGCTCTAAAACTCAGTTTAATGGTTCTGAGGCCGGCTGGTAGTAAGGTTTCCCGAACTCTGTGGTAGCTCTCAAAGAGGCTGATTCCATCAACAGCTGCAAAATATCAGAGTATTAACAGTGCCATGTTGCGCATGGATGGTGTCCCTGTTAATGCTTTTGGTGTGCATTGTCAAGGCCACATAAGAAGCCCTATGTCACGGCTTAGGGTTAATTAACAGGACTGAGACAACTGCATAGCTCATTGATTAGGAGGCTGTGCTCTATCTATGAATGAGTCAAGTTCTCATTAAACCTAAATCATGACCAAAGTAACCAAAAATTTAAAACCTAAAAAACCATCCCCATCACCTAAATATTTTAATATATCTTTTACAAATATTCGCGGTCTACGAAGCAACTTTCCATCAGTTGAGTCTTACCTCCTGCAAAATTCACCAGACTTGCTTGCACTCAGTGAAACAAATTTAAGTTCTGCAATTCCTTCTTCAGATGTCAGTGTTGATGGGTACTATCCTTTGATTCGTAAAGACTCCAATAGTCACATGCTAGGTTTAGGGGTATACATACGCATTAATTCCCCTATTTGTCGTGAAATCAGGTTCGAATCCTTTTACCATTCTTTTATGTGCTTTCGCCTAGCACCTCTTCACTCTATCACCTTTCTCTTTGTTCTTTATCGTTCTCCTTCTTCCCATGACTGCACTCTTTTAGATGTTATCTCTGATCAAATTGACCATGCCCTCTCTCTTTACCCCTCTGCCAATATTGTTGTTGTTGGTGATTTTAATGCCCATCACACTGAATGGCTTGGCTCTAACACCACCGATCCTGCTGGCACTAAAGCCTTTAACTTCTGCGTTTCTCAATCTCTTACTCAGATAGTTAACTTTGTGACTCGTTTTCCTGACAACCCTAATCATTTACCTTCACTCCTTGACTTATGTCTTGTCTCTGACCCTAGCTTATGTTCAGTTTCTCCCTTTTCTCCCTTAGGTGGTTCTGACCATGCAATGATCTCTATAAATCTTTCTTCTTGTACTTCTTTTTTGGGCTCACCTTATCATCGCACCACCTACTACTACCCTAAAGCTGACTGGGATTCCTTTCATGATTTTCTTCATGATGGTCCTTGGGCTGATGTTTTTTCTCTCTCAGCTGACAAATGCGCCTCCTACATTACCTCCTGGGTTCAGGCTGGAATGGAAGCTTTTATTCCTTCGCGTCGGTTTCAAGTCAAGCCTCATTCTACTCCATGGTTTTCTCCTTCTTGTGCGGCTGCTATATCCAATCGTAATCATTTTTTTCATCTTTTTCAAAAGAACTCTCTTGAGAACAAACGGCTATTTATTGTTGCAAGAAATCGGTGTAAAAAGGTGCTTTCTGATGCTAAACTCCATTATTCTCAGTTCACTAAATCTCGCATCTTATTGCAGAAGTTAGGCTCTAAAGACTTTTGGAAAATCTTCAACAGCATTGTTAACAAGGGTAGATCTAACATTCCATCTCTCATTCATGGGATAAGGCAGGGATAAGGCAGAACTGTTTGCAAAGAACTTTTCTTCTAATTCCACTCTTGAATCTTATGGACATTCTCTTCCTTCCATTCCAGTCAAACAGGTTGACCCATTGTTAGACATTCAAATTACTCCGGCTTCTGTTGCTAAAGTCATATCTCAATTAAACTCGTCTACAGCTTGTGGTCCAGACAACATTCCTGTCACAGTCTTGCAGAATTGTTCTCCAGAACTTTCTTCAATTCTCTCTAAACTATTTAACAAGTGTTTGACTGAGTCTTGTTTTCCTGCTTGTTGGAAAATGGCATCTGTAGTTCCAATATTCAAAAACTCTGGAGAAAATTCTGACCCCTCCAATTATCGTCCGATCAGTCTTCTTTCTGTTATTAGCAAGGTCTTTGAGTCTTTGATCAACAAATTCCTCACATCTCATCTTGAGTCAAACTGCTGTCAGACAATCAATACGGTTTTCGATCCTCTCGCTCTTCGGCCGACTTGCTAACTGCTGTAACTGAAAGATTTTATCGTGCATTAGATGGAGGCGGTGAGGCTTGGGCTATTGCTCTCGACATATCTAAAGCTTTCGACAAAGTTTGGCATGCTGGTCTTCTCCATAAGCTTGCTTCATATAGTGTTTCTGGGAAAGTTTTTGAGATTATCAAATCATTTCTTTCTAACCGGTTTATTAAAGTCATCCTTGAAGGCCAACACTCTTCTTTATTTCCAGTGACTTCTGGGGTTCCCCAAGGTTCCATCCTGGGCCCTGTTTTGTTTCTTATCTACATAAACGATCTTCCTGACAACCTTTCATCTAAAGTAGCTCTTTTTGCTGATGACTCGACTTTATACTCCTGTCTTGACAAAAAGTCTTCTCTTTTCGATCGCCTAGAACAAGCAGCTAATCTTGAATCTGATCTCACTTCAGTAATAGATTGGGGTTCACAGTGGCTTGTGAATTTCAACTCTAAAAAAACCCAATTGCTTACTGCAAACAACTACCGTAATATGGTCAACATTCCTATATTAATGAATGGCAATCCTCTTACTGAGTCGCTCTCTTTACGTCTTCTTGGATTATCGCTTACTACTGACCTTTCATGGAAACCATATATACAATCGATTGCTAAATTAGCTTCTGCTAAGGTTGCTTCTCTTTATCGTGCTCGCCATTTCCTTACTTCTGATTCCATTCTCTACCTCTACAAATCTCTTATTCGTCCCTGTATGGAATACTGTTGTCATATTTGGGCTGGTTCTTCTAACGATTCACTTTCTCTTCTTGACAAGGTCCAAAAACGCATTGTAAATGTTGTTGGACCTGGACTATCTGCTAAGCTTGAACCTCTTTCCCATCGTCGTAAAGTTGCATCTCTTTCTCTTTTCTACAGATACTATCATGGTCACTGCTCAAAGGAGTTATCATCTCTAGTTCCATCAACTAAAATTCATTATCGTTTTACTCGTCATTCAGCTAAGTCTCATTCGTTTACTGTATCTGTCCCTGCATGCTCTAAAAACTTTTATTCATCTAGTTTTTTTCCCCGCACTTCAATCCTTTGGAACTCTCTCCCATCTTCATGTTTTCCTGACTCATACAACCTTCAACTTTTCAAGTCTTCTGTCAACCGTTTCCTTGCTCTATAACTCTGTTCTTTTTTTTTCCTAGTAACTCCCAACTTAATAGTGGTTGCTTGCAGCCTTGTTGGGAGTGAATGCAAATTAAAAAATATATATATATATATATATATATTTTTTAAATATATGTTTTTAAAAATATAATATGGTTTTTAATCAAAATAATAAAAAATTTTTAAAATTATGTTTACTGTAATTATATTATATATATATTATCTCTTTAATATATATATTATCTCTTTAATTATCTTCAATTTAAAAGGCGCCTTAAAATCACTTTAAAAATTATAACCTTTAGTAAAAGTTAAATGAACAGATTTACTAATATTTAAGTCAAAATTTTAATTTTAAAATAATAGAAAATAAGTTTATTAAATGCTTACGTTTTTATTCAAATAGTTTATTAAAGACGTTTATTAAATTCTCATCAAATTTGTTTATCAAATGCTTATGTTTTTAATTCAAATACAAGACGTTAAACTATTTTGTTAATTTTACAAATATTACGCGATATAATATATGTAAATATATATGTAAATATATTATGTAATGTAAATATTGAATTAAAAATTGTTTAAAATATTTTAAATTATTATTTTAAATTAAATTTACTAAAATATAGTTAATAACTGTATAAAATACTTTAAACAATTTGCGTGGTATATATAACATAAGCATTTATTAAAATCTTAGATAAAATAGTTTTCTTTTAGTTAAAGTAACATCGTCCACCAGTAAATTCATGTATTCAAAAAATGCCTTTAAATCAACACCTTATTATAGGATAAAACTGAACAAGATAAACATAAATGATTATTAAGAAAATGATGATTAAAAATTATTGTTGCGGTACCTGTTTAACTAGAGGAGAATAAGGGGGAGGGGGAAAATAAAAACATAATTCTCCCCCCCCCCCCCTCCTCCTCCTCCTCCTCAACGTTGCTGAAAAAAACCAGTATCCCCAAATAAACTCTGCGTTCTTCACTGATGTGTGAGATCTTATTAACTTTTTCTGGGATTAGGCTGAACTGTTTGCAAAGAGTTCCCTGAATTATTTATCATAGTTATGCTCCTTCTGACATGAAAAACATTTTTTTAAATTATAAATCTAATTATAAGATAACTTAAAAGTTCATTTCATTTTAAAAACATGTAAATAAACCTTTGAACTCAGAAACAGTTTTTTTGTGTGTTTTTCTGGATTTTAAAATTACTCATGCAGTTAACATTTTTACAATACCTGTATTATTTTAAAAGACATCTGTAGATGAATCCCATAATTCTAAACTATTGCATAATGGTATAACCAATAGATTTATCCCAAATTAGATAAAAACGTATAGTTTGGTTTTTTATGGTTTTCTCCACATTTCTCTCAGTTTGTTAAAAAAAGTTTTAAAAAGCTTTTATTTTAATTAAAATAAAATGATTTTTCTTTACTTTCAGTAACTTATGTAGTACCTTGTATTTATGCTTTAATCCGTTCAGGATTACGCTCCATACTGTTTAATATCTACTTTAATTTTTTTTTGATTTCAAAATCTTTATTTGCTAATAATGCTACCATATTTTATTAAAGAAATAAGATTCATTTTTGGACACTATTCCTTTCACTCTTTAAAACACAATAAATAGTCTAACGTAACTTGATTTTTAACCTTCTGAAATTATTTGAATGGTGCATAACAATAATTTGTTTTTCTTTAAATGTTAAAAACTATGTTTTTGTTTAGTTCATTAAAAATTACATAAACATAAAATATGATAATTCTTTATTTAAAGTACTAATGGAACATCATTCTTTAATCTCTTTTTTAATCACCTGGAGTTTTAAGTTTATGATAAATTTCAACTCAAATAAAAATCAGTAAAAATACTGTTAGCGCTACTATTAGAATAACTTTGATATAACATTACATTTACTTGGTTTATAATTACTTGGTCATATTATATTAATTCATCTTCTTGATGACAACTTACTGACCTCTTCTTTAAACATTAAATCTATGTATTACAACGTTAACACCAGCTAAGGTTGCTGTAACTAGAATATGAAAATGGTCAGCATAGTATATGCGCACAAAAAAGTACTGGCTAGATGGTCATTTTTAAGCTCTTGTGCACAATTTTAACAATTCATTTTTATGTCCATTTATGTGACCAAAAACTTTTTTTTTTTTTTTTTTTTCTTTTTTTCTTGAGTACATCAGTGTTGCAATGTATTTTCTTTTGCTGTGTCATTGTGATTTGTAATTAGCAACCTTTTTTGTTTTCTTTAGCTAAATTTTGTGTTCAACCACAATTTAGTTTTTATATATTTATTCCTATATTATTTAAGCACAGTTTTGTGCATTAACTAATAAATTTTGGAAGTATAATTTTTATTATGTAATGTGTTTTTATCTAGTGTATTAACATCACAAGAAACTGAAACAGAAAAAAAAATAAATCAGTTTTCTATTGGTGAAGTGGTTAATGGTTTTGTTGCATCGGTACAAATAAGTTTTATGATTTTAAGTTTGTTGTTAATATATTTTTATGTCTATAATTTTTAAATGACTTCTATTCAATTATTAAAAATAGTTTGTAGGTTTTCATTTACACTTGTGATTATATTTTCATTTACACTTTTAATTATATTTTACTTATGTAACTTAACACAAACTTATTTATTTTAATTTCAAAAAAAAAAATTTAATTTTAATTGATTATTTTCTATTTCCATTTAAATGAGCTTCCAGCACTTTTATAAATCCCAAATCGTTTATAAATATAAATATATTTTGATCATTTAGGGTTTTACTTTTACATACAATTGTGTTTCAAAGATCTGACAACTGATGATCACCCAGTGATCAACATCTCAGCCAAGTGATCACCCAGTGATCAACATCTCAGCCAATATGCCTGAGTAATTTGATTAACTAGTTTCACTTCAATACAGATTATCAGTTCTGCTGGTCTAATAATATTTAAAATAAACTTTTCATTAGGGAATTTTTTGATATTGCTAGAAAGCTGTTTTTATTGTTTTTGCTTTAAATGCCCAATTTTTGCTGAGATTTTTTCTCAAAATGATAACAAAATCTGTGCTTACGTAGCAGTTTAAAATAACTTATAAAACATGCAGTATAAAAAATTTATTATCTTTATTAAAAACTTTAGACACTTGTAAGGCTAAAATTTGTAGTTACAATAGTATAAATTTGTTTAACTTGTTTTAGATTCCAATAAAGCAATTTTAAACGCAGGAAATGCCAGGAAATAGATCTGAAAATAATTTCCAGTTGCATAAGCAAAGAAAATATTTGAATGTAATCTACAAGTGATCATAAAAAAGAGGCTTTTTTTTTAATTAAAAGAATGCCTGCCCAAAACCTAACCCTCAATCAATCTATGTACACTCCACTGCACATATGGTTATATTAGTTGATGCATGTATAATTTGCTTTGCCTACAGCTATATCAGTCAATGTATGTACATTTGATGCATCTATTAGATAACATTTAAAAAAAGAAAAAATAATTAACTAGCTGACTGGACACATAATATGGATCATGGTCTGTTGCACTTCTATTACTTGCTCTTTATTCTATTAATTTCAATTGATTTTAGTAAATGGTAGAAAATAATGATCTTGGTTTCAACGTTATAATTGCAATTTTCTAATAAGTGGGTTTTACGCTTGTTTAATTTTTTTTGACTAACTCGTTTACTTATTTTATCAACCAACTGGGTCATATTTTAAAAATGCAAAAAATACTTAACAAAAAGTATCCAGAATATATTTTGCTTTGTATTCATCTTCACTAAATTTGTCTTAAGCTTTAAGCGTCTCAATTTTTTCTCCTCAATTTTTATATAGTCATAGACTGAATAGGATCAATAAGCAATTGATTTGCAGGTTTTTTTTAATTTTCTGCAAAAACAATAGAAGAATGTTTTGCTGTGGAATCATTCGCTGAGCTTCAAGGTCAACGGATGTTGAGACATGTCTCTACTTGTTTGATAAGCATTCAAGACGTGTTAATGAGGGTAATGGACCAGTTTAACAATTTGCAAAAACTATATTTGGGTCAGAAACTTAAAAGAAAACTAAGTGCAGAGTTGGATATAGAAATAGGAAAATAAAACTGTTGAAAATTGCGTGACATAATTTATGGACAACCCCTTTTTGAAATTTGATATCGTCAGTCCTACTTAAAGCTTCATATTTGTTTCATGGCTAGTTTATACCATATATATATATATATATATATATATATATATATATATATATATATATATATATATATATATATATATATATATATATATTATATTACTGTTTATAAAACATTTTTACTTGTTCATTTATTTATTTTTTTAAATATTTTAGATTGTGTCACATAATAGCCTGTTTTTCTAAGAAAAATCCTGTTTTTTAGGCTTTAGCAGTCCTGTTTTTTTTCAAATATCCTATTTTTTACCAATGACCCTGTTAGCAACCGGAAAGATCTGTCAAAACCATTTAGGCGACAATTTATATCTTTGTTTTCAAAATATTTTATGGTATAATTTCAGTGGTTTCATTTAATGTGTTAAACTGGAGAAATTTTGTTTGTTTTCCACCCACCAGGCTTTCTTAAATAAAATAATAAAAAAGCGTTTTTGTAAACCATGATTGCTAGCATCTTTTGAAAGACCAAAACACAAAATGCTGTTTAATGAGTAGATTATGAGTAGATCAATGCGTGGACCAATTACTCGGTTTATTGTTATGTCTTGGTTTTGAACATGCAATATTTTTATTGATTTCTAAATTTTCAAATAATTATAAAAAGGATTATATTATAATATAGACAGTTAAGGGTAGACACATAAATAAGCAACTCATATTATGCAATCTTTCAGAATTTTACCAGAAATGGATAGTAAAATAAAAGTAAAAATTTTAACATATCTAATGATATAGTGGGATTGACGTCATTTGCTTTTGACATCTGACACGCAGTTTCTGTATACACTATTAAAATCCAAATTCCTTATGGTAAAATTATTAAAAAATGAATTTCTAGAAGAATTAAAAAACGAAATGAACTTGCAAAACGACATGTTTGAAAATCTTAGACATGCTTTTTAATGCACCATCAAAAACAACCTAAAAAACAAGACAAAAGAATTTAGAAACAAATTTTGATGAAGAAATTTTCATTAAGGATAAAGTTCAGTCATTTTATTTTTTTAAAAATGAACTCATCACCTGTCATCACCTCTCATCACCTGTCATCACCTATTATTACCTGTCATCACCTGTCACATTTTTGAGGTCTTTAAATGGAAATCTATTAAAGTAAACATTGTGTTCCTAAAATGTAAACACTGTGTTACATGACAATCATGCTTCTCAATGCAGACACATGTTACATGAAACAAAACATGACAATCAACTTCACAATACAGACACTCTTCGGTTATATTTCAAAAACTATGCAAATTCATAAAGGAGATTTATCTAATTTTTGTTTAAGTTTATTTTCAAAATTCTTCATATTTTTGATATCAAAATAGCTGTTAATACACATGAAGTGATTGTTAAATGATTTGTTTCTGCTATCAAAGGAACTTGCTCATATCATTATTTCTTATCTCAGTCATGATGTTTGAATATTTTTCACATTTCAGAAGATACTTGCGTTAATACACAAAAGTCATTGAATATTGAAATTGACATCAGTATTGCTGATTAAATATTGGTCCATTATTTTGGATAATTTTTTAAATTGATTAAATATTGGTCCATTATTTTGGATAATTTTTTCCTGAAAAGATAACAGATTTTGCTTGTCAGCTTTTAACAAAAGGCTGAAAATTATTTCAAGTAACCAATAGTAACCACATATCCGATGATATCCAGTCAGTAAAAATATAGTAAAAATCCAAGTAAAAATACCAGATCAAGGTGGGGGAAACCGAACAAATCTTTTTTTTAAAGAAATAACTAGTAATGAGTTGCATTCTTTGTACTAATGTTCCTTTTGGTTTCTTTTGTTCAGAGGCATTCAATGATTCCTTAAACAACTTAAATTTTTTTTTAATAAGACAAGGGTTTAGGTTGTCAATTTGTATAACAGTTATCAGGTGATATGTAATCTGGGTCATGTCTCTATTCAAATTCTTTAACAGCTTTAATTTTTCTTACACATCCAAGACATTTTAAAAATATAAAGCAGACTTCAGTTGATTATGCTTCAGAGTGACAATTGTCACATTTCCTTTAACAACTTTTGAATAAATATAGAGGGTCACAGCATGACTTAATGGGTAAAAGTTGGACTTTTCAGAAAAATGTTGTTGAATAGAAAAATACTACAATTACTTCATTTTTGGATTATTCAAATTTTTGAAAAAGTTAGGGAGGTTGTAATTATTTTCTAATTGGATAAAAATTATTTACAAAAACTACTTTTTTAAAGAAAATCCAAAAATTGTTCTGTAAAAAATGAGACACTTGTTTAAAGTTAAAAAAAAATTATATGATTTAAAAGTTGTTTGTTTTTACAATCAATAAACTGGTGCATTTAAGTCAAAGATTTTTTGCTAACCTCAAACCCTTCAAGGTCAGTAGTTAGGTCAAATGCCAACCCTAATTCTGTAAAAATCAAAAAAAATCTGTAAAAATTTATTTGTTTTTTATATTTAAGGTAACGAAGAAGAGTTTATGGATATCAGTGAATCCTTTAGTTAAAGGAAAAGTTTCCGTTCTAAATATCTCAGAAAACATTATGGTACTTTGAGCTATATTTTTAGCTATATTATTTGGATGTTTGAGTTATTATATTTAAAACATTTGAAATTTTTATTTTATACTTTTGTTTATTTTGTTTGATATAATATTTTTGATTTTAACATAAAATTTAGGCTTGTGATTCCGTGCTTTTCTTTTAAATAATTTTTCTCCCAGCAAAGCTGCAATCAACCACTAATTAAGTTGGAAAGTACCAGAAAACAAAGAATATTTTTTAATACCAAAAAAAATGTTTGATAGAAGACCTTGGAAATGTATGAGTCAGAAAAACACCAGTCTAAATATGACAACAGTATTCCAAACAGGGATGAATGTGAGATTTGTAGAGGTAGAAAATTGAATTGCAAACATGATCACTAGAGGTGGTGCTAACTTTGCAATGAGTTGTATATATTATTTTCATTAGAGGTTAGTAGTAAATGGTAATCAAAGAAAACATAAAGTAAAGGATAGGGTAAGAATGTTGCCATTTATCAATTTATCAAAGTTAAAAAGCCATTCATCAATGTAGGATTATCAACAATCTTTCAATTATTGCTAACAGTAAATAACCTATTTTCATTTGTGTTAAAATTTACTAATTACAATAATCTTTATGCTGTCATAGAAGAGGATCAGGTGTAAGATCGGCTGCCTATTCTTAGCAATCAAAGTATTTAGCAGTAAATAAAGCCACTTTTAGACATAAGATTTTCAGAAAGAGCATTAATATAAATGAGAAATTATAGAGAGTTATGAATGGAACTTTGTAGTACCCCAAATATTACTGAAAATGAAAAAGAGTGTTGTTCTTTGAGGGTATTATTAATACTCAAAACTTGCACTGATACATCATATGAAGCAAGCTCACAGTTGTGAGAGGTCATGTTCAGAGCACATTGGCTATTCTGTCTCCATCTAAGGCAGTATTGAACCTTTTTGTTATAACAGTTGCCAAGCCAGCTGTAGCACTAGATTACAGGTAGACTACAGCTGTAGAGGATTAAAATTGGTTGTCAAGTAAGTTGTTACATCCAAGATGAGATATTAAAGTTTATTAGTTAAATACTCAAAGGCCTTGCTACTTATTAAATACTGATTAGACCATATTTAGAGTCAAAACAATATCCAAAATTTTTAAAAATTAGAAATATATCATTTTTCAGCAGGCAGAGAAACAAGATTCAGTTGAGTACTTATTAAATAGTTTACAGTAAAAAAAGGAGAACAATTTGATAGAGTTTAAAGAGTATTAAAAATAATAGTTTTAGAGAACATTTTTGTAAGACTATGACAATGCAAAAAATATTTTTAATCTTTTATTTTTTAATTGAGAAAAAGTAAGAGGATAAGAAAAAAAAAAATCATCAAAAGAAGTCTTACTTGGCCAAAATATTTTGAATGTTAACAATAAGAGATGAATTTAAAGATTAAATTCATTAATATCTCTTAATATCATAATTCACCTCTTACAATAAGAGATGAGTTTAAGATGTTATTTGATGATGTTAATGACACTGTTAAAGATTTTCCAAAAATCTCTAGAACCTTATTTCTTTGATAAAATATGAAATATTTTTTAAACTCAGAATATTGGAACTGAACATCAAACAGCAAATTTTTGCATTGCAATAATAAAAAGATGTTTGTTCTCAAGAGAGTTTTTTTCTTTTTCTTGTGAAAAATAGTGAAAGAAATGATTGTGAAAAGAAATAGCAAGAAAAAGAGTTGAGTAAGGTCAAGAAAAAGAGTAAAGTAAGGCTTGAATTAAAATCATGGAGTAAAGAAAGGCTTGACTTGAAACCATGGAGTAGAGTAAGGCTTAACTCAAAATCATGGGGTAGAGTAAGGCTCGGCCTAAAACCATGGAGTAGAGTAAGGCTTGATTTAAAATCATGGGGTAGAGTAAGGCTCGACTTAAAACCAACAAAAAATAGCAGAAACATTTATGTCTGCTTAAATCCAGAAGAATATGCAGGAGGCACAATTTTTTGCAGAGAGATGAAATACATTAACCCAAGATTCGTCTCAAAGAAAATTACCAAAAAAAAATCTCAGTTAGGTATTAGGTAGTTGTAAAAAGTATGGTATAAGAATAGGTGATTAAAGGGTGATAGGGTGAATCTGATGTAAAAAAAGTACAAAAAGTTTTAAAAAGGTCATAGATTTGAACCACCTAAATAAACAACAAACAGAAATTGAGCACAAGCTAAGGTTAGAAGCAAGACACAGCTCAAGGAGTGAAGGTAATTTATTAGAGTTGTCTGCACAATGAGGTGTTAATGATAGTTTATATTTTTAATTGTGTTAGGTACTTTAGTCTTGTTTTAAGTTTTTAAGGAATTGAATTGATTGTAGATAGTGCATGGCTTCCTAAACAATAAGCTATGCAGTTGTCTCAGCTAACTAAATAATTTTAAATTCACTATAAGTTCTAACAAAGGGTTCCTTATGTGGTCTTGACAATTCACACTTAAAACATTAACAGGTACACCATCCATGCGCAACACCACTGTTAGTACTATGATAATTTAAAGCTGTTGATTTAATCATTCTCTCTGAAAAGTACCACAGAGTTTGGGAACCCTTGATACCATCCGACTACATATTTGTTAAATTAAGTTTTGAAGTCTTACCTCAATTAGGAGTTATAACAGAACTAGTTGGAGAACCACTATCAAAGAAGCAAAAGCAAAAACCAAGAAGTATATTTAAGAAGATTAAGCATTTGCATAATAAAGGCTTAATTTTAAGTTGGATTTGTTTTTTGTTTTTTTTTTATCTTTGTTTTTTTAATTATATGGTTTAACTGGCCTTGGGTTGGTGTATTTGTTTTTTGCTTTTCTTTTTTCAAATAATATTTTTTTTGTTTTGTTTCAGGACCTAAATAAGTGGAAGTCTGTGTTTAAAGTTGGTTTAGGTTATTCATTTCGAATTTTAAGCTGCAAAGAGGATTTCCTTGAACTGACTAGATTAGGCAAGTATAATTATTTAGTGCATGTAAGCATGATAAATCAATCTTGATCTTAATATCTTATTATAAATGAGTAATTTTCTCAAGAATTACTTATTATAAATGGGTCATTTTCTTAATAATCATTTATTATAAATGGGTCATTTTCTTAATAATCATTTATTATAAATGGGTCATTTTCTTAAGAATGGCTTATTATAAATAGGTCATTGATATGCATTAGGTTTATTGATATGCATAGACATACATATCAATAAACTTTTTTATTATATATGCTAGTGTTGTCCCGGTACCAAAATTTCAGTATTCGGTACCGATACCAGTAAAAATCCACGGTTCTCATTACCAATTTCGGTACCAAACCAAAGATTAATTTAGACTAAATTTGCCAATAAAAATTCACAATTCTTTGTATCAAGGCAAAACACAAAAACATGCTAGCTGAAAAAAACACTATTTTTATTAATAAAGTTAAACAATGCCATTCTTCATACTTGTTTAAAATTGTGTTTCAACTTTTTCCACAAATAATAAATGAAAAATTACAAACCTAAAAAACGCAATTTTTATAAATTAAACAAAATATGCCATGACCAACAAGTAATAAACTAAAATATTATTATAAATGTAAAAAAACAATGGCATAATTTAAGTATTTCAAGCCAAGGATTGTAAACATTTAAGTAATTAAATAACTAGATAAATAACAAAACAATAAGCCATGACTGAATAATCACTCTTATTTATAAACTTTAACATTTTTATAAATTAAACAAAATATGCCATAACTGAACAACAAGTTGTAAATTAAAATATTATTATACATGTAAAAAAACAAAACAACAATGGCATAATTTAAATATTTCAAGCCAAGGATTGTAAACATTTGAGTAATTAAATAACTAGATAAATAACAACATTTTTTTCAAACAAGTTTCACCCAAATCAATACTGGTCTACACAGTTATTCCTTAAGTTACTTTCTTTGCCATTTCCAGATTTTCCGATAGAAACACTAACATATCAACATGTTCCTGACTCAGTCTTGAGCGTCTTGGGCTAACAATGTACCTTGCAGTACTGAGCACTCTTTCAGATGAACAGCTAGATGCAGCAATGCAAAGGTACTTCCTGGCAAACTCTGATAGTTGAGGTAGAGTACCCATATTTGTTTTCCACCAGATAAGTGGATCATTCTCAGCATTGACCTCAGGCATCTGATTGTACACCAAGAATTCACCATTTATCACGTCACTTGCAGAAAGAGGTGCTTGACTTGAGGATGCTGGCTTTCCTTTTTCTTTCTTTTCCCCTTGAATGGTGGAAAGCAGAAACTTTAGGTGATTTTTGGATTTTTTTGATGGCCTGACTTCTTTACTTGACAATCCTCCAGACACCCGAGATGCAATTCCTTCTTTTTCATTGCCCATTTTTTTCACCTCATCCAGAAGACTTTGCTTCACATCATCCTTTAGAGAGACAAAGCTGTTCTTAAATCGTGGATCAAGGTAGGTTGCAGTGTTCAAAAGAAACTGAAGCTGCAGATCATCATAGCGATGCTGAAGATACTGGTGTATCTTTTCCTTCATCTCTTTGGCTAATGCAGAGTCACTTTGTTCATGACTGAGACACTCAAATATCTTCCAGAGTAACAGCAAGACTGAAGACAGGGTGGTATGTTTTTCCCTGCTAAGTGCATCAGTAAAAGGACTGAGTGGCTCAAGAACTGCTTTAACAGTCTTTTGGCATCAGATGCCATTTTTTCCTGTCTTCAGCCAGGACAGCACAGACAACCTGCTACTGCTCCAAGAAACATTCCACCATATCGTATGAAGAATTCCAGCGAGTGAGTTCATCATGAATGAGTTTGTGGTCTGGAGAGGACAGATCTTTCTGTTTCTTGGTCAGCTGGCGTGAAAGTTTTGCGGTTCTGTAAAGGCAGAAATAGTTTTTCGAAGCCTTGACAGCACTGCAGACACCCTGTTTATGTCTAATGCCTTATTTACAGCAAGGTGGAGATTGTGTCCAAACCAAGGAATCCAGGTGTAGTCCTCAAAGGCTTTTTTGTTATTTGAGGCACTGTCTGTTGTGATGCCTGACATTCTTGCAATGTCCAGCTTCCAGTCTTCAAGTTTTTCATCAAAGGCCTCCTTCAAACTTTCAGCAGTGTGGTCTGTGTTGAGACCACAACAGCCAAGATACCAGGATTGCAATTCCCATGATTTAGTGATGTTCTGCAGAGTTAAAGACATGAAAATGTCTGCAGTTCTACTTGTCCAAAGATCTGTTGTGCAGCTGTAAAATGATTTGTCACTGAGATGCTGGATTATGAGGTCTCTGGTGTCATTGTACATGCAGGGAATCTCAGTGTACATAAAAAAGTTTCGACTTGAAAGCTGGTATTTTGGGTTGAAATGATGGAGCATTTGTTGGAATCCACATTTTTGAACTGTATAAATGGGCACTTTATCAATACATATGAATTCAGCAACAGCTAGGTTCAGCTTTCTTGCCTCAGGTGAGTTTTTGTCATATTTTTGTTGCCACTGAAAAGCTTCTTAAATTGTTGCCTGTTTATGAGTTTGCGGGGGTGTTCCATGGTCTTCCTCAGCTTTCAGCTGTAAAAGGAAAATATAATAAATATACTTTATAAGTATAGAAGTTAAAAATGGGCTGAGTCTGAACAAATGAAACATTAGTTTTTCTCTAAATAACAAACCTCAGCTTTTATAATAGCCTATATAATAGCCTATATAAACAATTTTAATAAATAACTAGTACTTGTAAAAAGATTAAATATTTTAAATTTTGTTAAAAAATACTTTTTGTATAAAATTGTTTAATCCTTTACACGGTAGGTAATTACATAATTTCTATTAGTAGCACCATAAAAGTAAAAAAGTAAAGGATTAGAAGGATTTTCCCAATAGTTAAATATAATATATGTAGTTTTATTTATTTTATAAGTATGTATTTTTTATAATAAATTTAAAACTATTTCTATAACTATATTTATTTCCATTTTTATAATGCGATAAAAACCTTTAATACTTTAATCGAAAAAACTATACATAAAACTTTATTTTTTTGAAGAAGGAAAGAATCAGCAAAAAAATATATTTATATTATCTTTTACTAAATTATAATTTTTTTTATTAAATTGAATTGTTTAGAACTATTTTTAATATTAATTTTATTAATAACAACAACTTTATTCAAAACATTGAACGTTGTTCAAAACTTTTAATGCTTAAACATTTTAATTCGAAGTCACTTAAAAAGTTACATTTTGCTTTTGAAGTCACCGATTTTATTTTGTCTGTAAAGTCATTCTATTAAAGACGTCAAAATCTTTTTTACAAAAGACTCTTTACAAATAACTTTTTACAAACGACTTTTTACAAACGACTTTTTATGAGCGACTTTTTAAAAACAACTTTTTACAAACGACTTTTTACAGAAATAATTATTAAAAGAAAAGTCTTAACAATAGGTTGTAAAAAAACGTAAAAAAAGTATAAATTTTTTTAATTTAATTTTTAAGCTTATTATTGTTATTTTAATCTTTCTGTAAGACTTATTTTTGGCTGTTTATTTCTATCCGACTGGTTCAGACATTCAAATTAAAATATGATATATAATTCATAACAGAAGCTCTATATTTTAAATTAGTTTGAAACTTACCTGCTTGAACTCTTTCGTCAGATCCGGGTGTCGGTCTTAAAGTTGTTTTATTAAGTTCAATGTGTTTCCTCCTTTTGAGAGAAAACTTTGGTGACATCGTTTGCAAATGGGTTTTTGATTATCAATGATATTCCCCTTGTCATCAGCCGCAAATCCAAAATATTTCCACACATGGCTCTTTCCTCCTTTTTTCTCAACAAGTGGATTTAGAGCTACCACATCAGCTTCACCACCGGTCGCCATTTCTCAGCAGTTTAATAAAGAGGACGCGCTACTGCACGCATGCGCATCAAGGAATCGGGTTTGAACGGGTCTTCGGTACTACCGGTACTTAAGAAAACTTGGTACCTTGACGTTTAAATTTTTTTAGTACCGACTTGGTACCGAAGTACCGTGTACCGTGACAACACTAATATATGCAATATATTTTTAAATTAACTTTGTTATGGTTGAGGCTAACTGTCATGCGATCTGTCATATTGATAATAATGATTAACATATGTTGCGGAATAAATGATTGTAATGTGTTGTTTTTTATTGTTGTTTTCTTACTGAGAAGTATCGTTGAATTTTAATGATAGCTTTAATATTTTATAATAATAACTTTTATTTAATTTTCTATATGTTTTAGGAGAAGATCTTAATGTTGCTAAAGGTGTTGTAATCAATGGGAAAATATCAAAAGTTCTTAAAAATGCAGGATTACTCATTGAACTTAGTAATGGAAAAGCAGGTGTAGCTCATATAACAGAACTAAGCGATCATTTTGAAGAAAGTCCTTTAAATGGGTTTGCTGTTGATCAATTCGTAAGGTAACTATAATAGTTTTCAAATAAGTAGTTAACTTCTTTTTATTTTGTATATTTTTAAAAGAGAACTTTTCTTATAGGTGTAAAGTGTTGGCTATTAAAAAAAATGATGAAATAGATCTAAGTTTACGGCAGTCCAGGTAATGCTATTTACCTTTTGATGTTTTTAAAAAATTATTGTATATTTAAATTAAAAATTAAGTATAGAAATAAATGTTCAATAAACAAAATCTCTCACATTCCTGTTTGATTATTTACTCCACTTTTAAACTGGAATGTTCAAACTTAAATCCAACAAATTAAAATAAATAATTTAAAGATCTTGAATTATACATCATCAGAAAAATACACAATAAGTTAATTTTAACTATAGCTTTTTTCAAAGAGAGTCATATAAATCTTGATGGTGGTAGTTATGTAGCAACATCATTCTGTAATCAACTTTTTCTATCAAAAATGTTAAAGTTTCTACACTAATTCAAAATTTGTTTTTATAACAATTTTTTTTTTATTTATAACTAATTAACAATCATATTTATATTCTCTTAAAATATTTTTTTAAATATTCTGCATAAAAAGTTTATCGAAAAGTTTTTTTCTGTAAGATTGAGATGTTATAGTTCAATAATGATAAAGTGAATTAAATAAATTTGAAAACAAAAGCAAATTAATTTAGTTCTTTAAACAAATTACTTTTTAATATAAAATTAATAATCAAACTTAAGTAAAATCAAAAAATGCTTCAAGAAATTAGCAGAATTCTTATAGAAGCTTTTTTTAGAATATTATACAAATGATATAAACAGGCTTGGACAGGAATGGCGTGCAATCGAGCGCTATTGCTTACTACGCGAATGATTTTATTTTTCGACAACTTGACCATGACTGTTTAGATGTTTACAAGATTTTTAAGCATTTTAACAATGCGCTGAAAAAAGAAAATGCTAGCTAAACTAAAAAAAAATTAAATGAAAATAAATAAAATAAAAAAATAAAATAAAAATGAAAAAAGAAAACAATTCCTTGCGAAAAAGAAAATATATATCCGCTAAAATAAAACTCAAACTTGAAGAAAAAATTAATTTTTGTTGTTTTTAATTGCATTAAAAAATTAATTACTTAAAAATTTATTTTTAATTGTTAAAGTTATACAAAATGCTTTTACAAGTTACTTTTAATGGTTGTTTAATGAATGAACAAATTATATTTGAATTACTAAAAAGTATTATATATTTTTTTAATATTGTGTGAACACTTTTTGCAAAAGTTGCAGAAAAAAAAAAGTTGATTAAAAAAATACTGTCTATTTAAAATATTAATTTTTAATCATTTCATGCTCTGATTAGTTAGTCAAGTTAAAAAAGTTTTAATTTTTTGTAAAAATAGAAAAATTATAAATAAATAAAGCAATTAAATCATTTGATTGCAACGACAGGTTTAATTTAACTTATTCATAATTTAAAGTAATTTAAAAAATTCTCTTTCAAAATTTTTTTAGAAAAACATGAAAAAATAGTTTCAAACAAATTATTAAATTTATTTTATTGTAAAAAAAACATGCCTTCATAAAAAAATTTAAATGTAACATTATTTGTAAATTTACACAAAATTCATTTTGAAACAATCACTATAATTACAATTTATATATTTTATTTAAAGCCTTTGGGTAAAATAAAAACTTTATAAAAGATCAACGATTTAAAGTTATTTATAATGTAACAATTTTTTTAATAACATTTAAATTGATAAAATGTAAAAACTGGCGTGGTCAAATTGTAAAGAAAAAATATTATATCTGTGGTCAGTTACAGCGTCAGTTACAGCAACCACACGCCATTTCTGTCCAAGCCTGTAAAGAAGTTTTTTTTTTTTAACTTATCTTTGAATTTAATATAAGATTGGAACAACATAAGTTCACAAAAAAAACTCACAGTAAAGTTGTTTTAAAATATATTTTAATATAAATTTAGTTTAATTAAATTTTAAACCAACTTTATTTATTGTTTCTTTTAAAATAGTATTATTTTCTTATAACTATAGGATTATGTTATTTTTTTATTACCTTATTATTATTACAAGATGTTTAAAAAAGACAATTAAAATTAAACTAGACTAAATTAAAATTATTTGTATAAATAATATAGTTATATATATACATTTTTTTATTTAGAATAAACGAAGGGCAAGCTAATGCTGGAGGTAACTTTGTTTTGATTGGTAACTATGTTTTGATAAATTTGCTGTATTAAGCAGAATAAAAGCAAATAAGACATCAATCTTATGATTTTAATGAATTATAAGTTAAATGATTTTATTAAGTTAAGTTTTACTAAGTTTTAGATTTTTTCAGAAAACTGTGCAGTGATTTTACAAATTTATACAACAAAGTTTTTCAATCATTTCATAAAGATATACCATTATTTCAAAATAAGTGATTTTTTTGTGTTTCACTATTAGGTTGATATCTTTTACATTCTGGTGCGTCTAAATTTGTAGGAAATTTATCAAAACTTTACTGAAATACTCTTATCTACTAAACGAATAAGGGGAAGGGGGCACTTTATACTTTATTAGATTTTTTTGATCCAGTAAACCCCTTCCTCCCCCACCCTTTATGATTTCCTCCTTGTTTATTAGTATTGAAGAAATTTTTTTACTTTGAAAAATCATTTTTTTATTCTGATCTTCCTGTTTATTTAGACTACTGACCTCTATTTTCTCCACCCCCCTCCCCTTCCTTCCTTGTAATAATATTTGATTTTGTCCTTACGACAAATGATATTAAATATTATCTTTTTTATTGATCAATAATAATAATGATTTTATATCTTTTATCATTTTGTATCTTATTAAAGAATTTTATTTATTATTTTTATTATCTTTTTTAATGGTTTTATTTATTTCTTTTTTTCAAATTTAGCATTTGCTATACAATCATATTTTATTTTCTTTAATGAAACTGTATTATTTTTATCTTTTATGAAGTTGCATATTGATGTTGCAATTAGAAACTTTAGTAATATGTTTATTAAATTTTGTATATAATAAAAAGTATCAATAATTAAAGATACAATAAACAAAAGATATAAATAGTTAAGAATATAAATAATAAGTGCTATAAAACCATTATTAGCCAATAATAATTATTAAAATTATGATAAAATTATTGTTAGTCAATAAAAAAGATAAGAATTATTATTAAATAATATGAAACATTTTAAATCATCATCGTACATCTTACAACTACCTTAAAGCTGACTGGGACTCTTTCCGTGATTTCTTCGTGATAGCCCCTGGGTAGAAATCTTTCGTCTTCCTGTTGACAAATGTGCTTTTTACATAACTTTATGGGTTCAGGCTGGCATGGAATCCTTTATTCCCTCTCGTCGATTCCAGGTCAAGCCTCACTCCATGGTTTTCCTCACATTGTGCTGCTGCAATTGCCAATCGAAACCATTACTTCCATATCTATCAGCAAAACAATTCTCCAGAAAACAGACGTCTGTTTTTTACTGCTAGGAACCATTGTACAAAGGTTTTGTCTAACGCCAAAGCCTGCCATTCTCAGATCATGAAATCTCATATTTCATCACAAAAGTTAGGCTCTCGTGACTTCTGGAGAATCTTTAATAGTATCAATAATAAGGGCAAGTCTGTAATTCCACCTCTTTTGTATGGTTCAGACTTTGTCACCTCACCTAAAGACAAAGCTGAATTGTTTGTTAAGAACTTTTTATTAATATCATCTCTTGACTCCCATAGTTGCGTTCTACCTGATATAGGCGTCAAACAGGTTGATCCATTGCTCAATATCCCTATCACTCCAGCCTCTGTATCTAAAGTGATTTCCTGCTTAGTCTCTTCTACAGCTTGCGGGCCAGACAACATACCTGTTATAGTCTTGTGGAAGTGTTCTCCGGAGCTGTCGTCTATTCTTTCAAAACTATTTAACAAGTGCTTATCAGAGTCTTGTTTTCCAGCCTGCTGGAAAGCAGCATCTGTTATTCATATTTTAAAAAATTCTGGAGAGCGATCCGATTTATCTAACTACCGTCTCATTAGTCTTTTTCCTATCATAAGCAAGGTTTTTGAATCTTTAAATAACAAACACTTAATCTCTCATCTTGAATCTCATAACCTACTTTCTGATCATTGATATGGATTTCGATTTTCTCGTTCTACGGCTGATTTGCTATCAGTAATAACTGATAGGTTTTATCGTGCATTAGATAAAGGTGGAAAGGTTAAAGTCATTGCTCTTGACATTTCTAAAGCCTTAATGGTCTTCTCCATAAGCTTTCTTCTTACGGTGTATCTGGAAACACCTTTAAGATTATTGAATCCTTTCTTTCCAATCGTAGTATAAAAGTTGTCCTTGATGGACAGCACTCTTCTTATTATTCTGTAACCTCAGGGGTTCCTCAAGGTTCAATCCTTGGCCCTATACTCTTTTTAATTTACATTAACGATCTTCCAGATATTCTCACATCTAAGGTGACATTGTTCGCTGATGATACTACCATTTACTCTTGTCATAATAAGAAGCCAACTCCCTCTGATTGCTTGCAGGGGGCATTTGAGCTTTAAAAGGATCTCACTTCTTTCTCTTTTCTACAAATACTATAATGGGCACTGCTCTAAAGAGCTAGCATCTCTTGTGCCATCTACTAAAATTCATTCTTGTGTTACTCATCATTCAATTAAGTCTCATCCTTTTTCTGTTACTGTTCCTAAGTGCTCCAAAAACTCTTACTCATCTAGTTTTTTTCCTCGAACATCAGTTCTTTAGAATTCGCTTCCATCATCTTCCTTTCTTGATTCATATAATTTGCAATCTTTTAAGTCGTCTGTTAATCGTTATCTTGCTTACAATCTTCTTACAATCTTCTTCTTTTCTCTTCCAGTAACTTACAACACTATTTAGTGGTTGCTTGCAGCCTTGTTGGAAGCAAAGATATTTAAAAAAAAAAAATCTTTTATTAAAAATATATAAAAGAAAAGAAACCGCCAGTTTTTAAATTTATATAAAAGTAATCTTTTATATTATTTAGTATCTAATAAAATATTACTTTTATATTATTTAGTATCTAATAAAATATTACAATTATATCTTAGGAAAATGTTCAAAAAAAGTAGTTGGAGTTATTCAACAAGTTTACAAAAACAAAACAAAAAATTTAATCAAAGTTTTTCTACCAAATAATACCAAACAAAGTTTTTTGTTCTCTGCACTTTTTTTTGATTTCATTGAGAATTGGATCAATACATTTTAATTTCATTTAGAATGGGATAGATACATTAATGGGTATGATGATATAAAAGAAGGTGACATCTTACGTGGTTATGTGAAGTCTTGTTCAAAGATAGGAGTTTTTGTTAGGTAATATGTTTTTAGGTTGTTAGGTAAAGTGTTTCTAAAAATTAAGTTTATTATTTTTAAATCACAAAATAGATTATGGTATATTACATAATTTAAACTTTTTTTTAAACAAATTTTTTTTTCTTAGTCTTTCACAAACTATCAATGGACGTGTTCAAATAAAAAATCTTTCACAATATTTTGTTAAAGATTTTGAATCGTTGTTTCATGTTGGAAAATTGGTCAAAGCTAAAGTTATACAGTTTGTTTATTTTTTTTTTTTTTAAACTGAGGAAGTTTATGCAATATAACTTATCAACTATGTTGAAAGACATTTAGCACTTCTAACAAAGTCCAACCTAATTTTTAGCCTATGAAATGGCTTTATATTTTATTCAAGTTTAGAAATTTTTTTAATTCATCAAGTGTGGATCAGGTATTTAAGGTATGTAAGGCTAGTTGTTAAAAAATATTTTTAACAAGCTAAATATATAAAAATTGATTTTAAATAACTTAAAATAGTTTAAATATTGACATGTTTTTATAACTTGAGATATGTCAAGTAAAAAAATACTTCAAATAAATCTCAAAAAAAAATCTTAAGTTTAATATGTTTCCTTTTTAATGTTATTTTTTAACATATAAATTTTCCATAAGAAAATTTATATGTTAAAAAATTGAATAAAATTTATGAAATTCAAAATTTTTTTTTTCTTTTTTTTCCTTTTTTTTCCTTTTTTTGTTCTTTGAAAAAATTGTTTTGTTTATAAGTTTATTTACTTATTAAAAAAAAAAATAAGAAGCAAAATAAACTAATTAAAAACTGAAGTTTTGCTTTAAAAAAAAACAATTATTTATTGTTCAAAAAATTTCAATGTCTTTAAGAAATTCCACATAATATGTATACAAAAGTGAGATCCTTTTCAAGTTCAAATGCCGACTCTAAGCAATCAGAGAGTGTTGGCTTCTTATCATGGCAAGAATAAATGGTAGTATCATCAGTGAATGCCACCTTATATGTGAAAATATCTGAAAGACTGTTGATGTAAATTAAAAAGAGTATAGGGCTAAGAATTGAACCTTGAGGAACCCCAAAGTTACAGGGTATGAAGAAGAGTGCTGTCTATTGAGGACAACTTTTATACTACGATTGGAAAGGAACGATTCAATAATCATAAAGATGTTACCAGATACACTGTAAGGAGAAATGCTCGATAAAACCTATCGGTTATTACTGTTAGCAAATCAGCTGTAGAATGAGAAGATCGAAATCCATACTGATGATCAGAAAGTAAGTTATTAGATTCAAGATGAGAGATTGAATGTTTGTTAATTAAATCTCAAAAACCTTGCTTATGATAGGAAAAAGACTAATGGGACAGTAGTTAAACGAATCAGATCGCACTCCAGAATTTTTGAAAATAGGGATAACAGATGCTGCTTTCCAGCAGGCTGGAAAACAAGACTCTGATAAGCACTTGTTAAATAGTTTAAAAAAAAATTTAACAGCTCTAGAGAGCACTTCTACATGACTATAACAGATATGTCGTCTGGACCACAACTGTAGAAGAGTCTAAGCAGGAAATCACTTTAGATACAGAAACAGGAGTGATGCAAATGTCAAGCAATGAATCAACCTGTTTGATGGCTATATAAGGTAGAACAAGCTAATGGAATCAAGAGATAATATTGATAAAAAGTTCTTGGCAAACAATTCAGCTTATACTTTAGGTGAGGTGACTATATGTGACTTAAATGAAGTCTGAACTATACAAGAGAGGTGGAATAACAGATTTGCCTTTATTATTGATGCTGTTAAAGATTCTTTAGAAGTCATTAAAGCCTAATTTTTGTGATGAAATAGAAGATTTCATGACCTTAGAATAGTAGGCTTTGGCGTTAGACAAAACTTTTTTACAATGGTTTCTAGCAGTAATAAACAAATGTCTGTTTTCTGGAGAATTGTTTTGAAAATTGCATTAAATTTGAAATTGCAGCAGCACAATGTGAGAAAAACCATGGTGAAGAGTGAGACTTGAACCTGGAATTGTCGAAAGAGAATAAAAGATTCCATGTCAACCTCAATCCACGAAGTTAAGTAAAAAGTTCATGTGTCAGCAGAAAGATGAAAGATTTTTACCCAAGGGCCAAGAGATTATAGTTATAGAGAGATCAAACCGTGATCAGAAGCACCTAAGGTTGAATGTGGAGAAACTGAGCACTGACTAGGATCAGAAACAAGACATAAGTCGAGTAGAGAAGGTAAATGATTTGAGTTGTTTGGAAAGCGATTCAGAAAATTGACTATTTCTGTTGTAAAATCAACTATTTGAGAAAGGCAAAGTTGTGGAATTAAATGCCTGCAGAGTCACTGACACTAGAACAAAGCTGTTCAATATGATGAGCATTCACAGAGCACATTCACAGAGCATTCACATGAGCACATTCACAGAGCATTCACATGAGCATTCGACATTCACAGAGCATTCACATGAGCATTCAACATTCACAGAGCATTCACATGATCACAAGTCACCAACAACAGCAATATTGTATGATGGATATAGAGAGAGAGCTTAGTCAATTCGATCAGAAATAACATAAAAAGAGTACAGTCTTGAGATAAAGGAGAGTGATATAGAACGAAGAGAAAAGCGATGTAGTGAAGTAGTGCTAAACGAAAGCACATAAAAGGATAGTCTGTGGATTCAAACCTAGTTTCCTGACAAATAGGTGAATTCTTACGAATGTAAATGCCCAGGTCAAGCATGTGACTATTCAAGTCTTTATGAAATAAAGGAAGATAACCATCAACAATAAGATTACAAGATGAGACAGCTGAACTCAAATAAGTCTCACAAAGAGCAAGTAGGTCTGGTGAACTTAGCAAGAGATAAGACACAACAGAAGAAAATTTACTTTGAAGACCATGAATATTAGTTAATGATAAGTTTAGAGAACTTGTTAATGACGATGGTTTATTGTGTTTTATAGTTTTTGTTACTTTATTTATTTTTAAATTTGTTAAAGAACTTGACTCAAAGCATAGATATTACTTAGTAAACTATTTAATAGCCCAAGCCATTGCCTCATTACTAATAATAAACCCTAAGCCGTAACAAAGGACTTTAAATATGGCCTTTGCAATGCACACCAAAAGTGCAAAAAGGGACACCATCCATGCGCAACATGGCACTGTTAATACTCTGATATTTTTCCGTTGTTGATGGAATCAGCCTTTCTAAGAGCTATCACAGAGTTCTTAAAACCTGAATACCAGCCAGCCTTGGAACCATAAAACTGAGTTTTAGAGCTGTACCCTTATTAAGAGATAATAGAATGAGTTGCCCAGTTATAAAAACAGACACAAGCAAAACTCATGCATTGACTCCAGAAGATCCAGCATTCAGCATCCTAAACTGGAAACAATGTATTAAAAATACATCTGCGCCAGCCTAATAGATGAAGAAACGGTGCTATGCTAGTCAACAGAACAAATCTGTGTTCCCTTTGAGTCTTTGTCTAGAAGGCCTTTTACAAGACGAATGCGTTTAATATCTGCCCAAGATAAGTATTTTTATTGAGTCACCATCTCTAGCCTTTACTCAACCAAGAGCCCCAAGGCATGGGGGGGTGTTTTAAGTTGGAGTTGGCTTTTCCTAGTCTTTGCCTAAAAAAGCAATCCTACAAGGCAACAGGACATGTAACAGGTTGTAGTGAATTACATGTTACTAGTAGCGGAATAACCTGACCTGACCTAGATTTTTATATAAAATTATAAATGTTTTAATGTTGTTTCTTTTAAAGAAGCTTTATTTAAAATTTAATGAAGATTAGTTTTAATACAAAAATTTTGTTTATTATGTCATTGGGTTAATATTGTTTATTATGTCATTAGGTTATATTATTACTTTGAAACATTATTTATAAACAATGTTAATGATTGGCTAATATGTTCATTTTATCTATAATAATGTCACATGATTAGTTTGAACAATTTTAATTAATTTAATCACATTTTAAATTGATTTGGTTTATTAAATACAGTTAAAATGTTTTCTCTAAAGAAAAGGTAGAAAATATTTTAAATGGTTTATTAATGTAGTTGTTATTTTTATTTCTATAAGAAATTTAATTCTAAACTGAAGTTTTTTCAATTTGCAAAGATACAAGTATATAGTTTTGATGATTTTAAAGTTAAAAATTAAATTTGTCACTGATTGTGTTTTACTTGCTTGAATTGTTTTAAAGTAAAACCAATAGTGTTAAATAGACATTTTGCTAGAAATTAAAGATTTTGCTAATGTCCTGCTGTTATTATATTGTTATTATGTTGTTGTTATGTTATTATTATGTTGTTATTATCAAAGAGCATAAATTAGTGACATTGAGTTTTGCTTTTGTGTATGAGGTTTTCAATCAGAACTATACTGAAAATATATACTAGTGATTTGAAATTTGATTTTTTTTCTTACACTTAAGCTTGATGCATCAGCTGTAAAAAAATTTTCAACTTGTTCTATATTTTGATATAAAATTATTTGTATTTTAAATTTAATGTGTATATTAAATAAAAATCAAGTTGAAATAAGGTAATCATAGAAAAGGTGTGATAATTATGAGAAGCTGATGCTAATTTGATTAGGTTGTGTTGAAAGAGTTAAAAAAAAGTGTTATAAATCAATAGAATATACAAAGTAAAACAGTTTTAGTTTTTTGACATTTTTTATCTTTTTAAAGTTTCATTCACTATGCATCTGTAAAAAAATGATTTATTTCCACTTTCAGGTTTTCTCAGTAAAAAATCACATTTTTTGATATCTTTTTGAATAAAAATTTTTGTTATTTTTTTATATATATATATTTTTTGTATGGTTTTATTTTTTATTTTATGACTTAATTTTTTATTGTGGCATGTGAAAAGTTTTAAAATAATTTAATTTTTTATTTTAAGTATTGATCCAACCACTAATCATATTGATTTATCTCTGCGCGGTAAAGATGTGAATGATGTTGATCCAGCTCCCCCACCAAAACGAAAGTTACCTGTTAATGAAGAAAGTGAGATAAAGAAGAAAAAAAAGAATGAAGAAAAAGAGGAAAATGAGCGTGAGTCAAATTTAATAAAGTTTAGTATAAAACTTTTTTAATTTTTGAATCATTTAATAATAATAAACTTATTTCTAGAGCTAAGAATTAATAAACTTTTTTTTTAATGTTTATTAACCTTTTTTTTTTTAATATTTTAGAAAAATTTAATTTAAATCTTTTTTTTTTTTTTATATATATAGAAAATCTTTCTTCTTCTGAAAGTGAATTTGACATTGATGATGCAAAAGACAAAGTATCTTTATTAATTTTAGAAAAATTTTAAGCAAGCTTTATTTTTCCACATTTTAAATTTGCATTTCCATTAAATTTTTTTCATTAGACTTATTTTTCAATTTTGATTTTTTTGAATTTTCTAAAATTTGTTTTCTGATTTAGTAATAATTTTCTTAAAGTTGAATACCTTACTTTAGGTAAAGGAGGAAGTTACAAAGCAAACATTAAAGGTTGAAAAATTTTGTATTAGTGTTTATTTATTTTATCAATATATAAGTTTTTTCATCACCTTAATTTCATCAAACAATTAAAACAACAATTTTTTTAGTCTCTTATTATTTTAGCCTATTTTAGTGCGATTAAAGGTACTGGTGCTATAGCCTCAGGCCCCATAGTTTTTAGGGCCCCATTTTTTTAGAAAAAAAGACTTTTTAAAATAACTTTTAAAAAAAGACTTTTTTTTTTTTTTTTTTAATATCTTTACTTCCAACAAGGCTGCAAGCAACCACTAATTAGTGTTGGAAGTTACTGGAAGAAAAAAGATGAAGATTGTAGAGCAAGATAACGATTGACAGACGACTTAAAAGATTGCAAATTATATGAATCAGGAAAGCAAGATGAAGGAAGCGAATTCCAAAGAACTGATGTTCGACAAAAAAAAGATGAATAAGAATTTTTGGAGTACTTAGGAACAGTAACAGAAAAAGGATGAGACTTAATTGAATGACGAGTAACAGTAACGAGAATGAATTTTGGTAGATGGCACAAGAGATGCTAACTCTTTAGAGCAGTGCCCATTATAGTATTTGTAGAAAAGAGAAAGAAGTGAGATCCTTTTAAAGCTCAAATGCCCCCTGCAAGCAATCAGAGGGAGTTGGCTTCTTATTATGACAAGAGTAAATGGTAGTATCATCAGCGAACAATGTCACCTTAGATGTGAGAATATCTGGAAGATCGTTAATGTAAATTAAAAAGAGTATAGGGCCAAGGATTGAACCTTGAGGAACCCCTGAGGTTACAGAATAATAAGAAGAGTGCTGTCCATCAAGGACAACTTTTATACTACGATTGGAAAGAAAGGATTCAATAATCTTAAAGATGTTTCCAGATACACCGTAAGAAGAAAGCTTATGGAGAAGACCAGGATGCCAAATTTTATCAAACGCTTTAGAAATGTCAAGAGCAATGGCCTTAACCTCTCCACCTTTATCTAATGCACAATAAAACTTATCGGTTATTACTGTTAGCAAATCAGCCGTAGAACGAGAAGATCGAAACCCATATTGATGAATCGGATCGCTCTCCAGATTTTTTTAAAATAGGGATAACAGATGCTGCTTTCCAGCAGGCTGGAAAACAAGACTCTGATAAGCACTTGTTAAATAGTTTTGAAAGAATAGACGACAGCTCCGGAGAACACTTCTGCAAGACTATAACAGGTATGTTATCCAGGCCACAAGCTGTAGAAGAGTCCAGGGATTATCTTTTTCCAGATATTTCCGGAATTCCGGATATTTTTCTCAACTTTTAGTTTTTCCGGATATCAAAAATGTCAAACATACAAGTTTAGGAATATATTTTTGTAATATATTTGCTTTTTAAGCTTTTTCACTCATTACTCATTCAAAAATTAAGAAAAGTTAAAAAAAAAATTTATACAACTAAGCTAAAATCAAAATTAAGGGAAATATTAGGGAAAATATATTCTGGATATTTTACCCTACTGATTTTCCGGATTTTTAAAATATAAGCTGGATGATCTATGGAAGAGTCTAAGCAGGAAATCACTTTAGATACAGAAGCTGGAGTGATAAATGTCAAGCAATGGATCAACCTGTTTGACGGCTATATTAGGTAGAACGCAACTAGTGGAGTCAAAAGATGATATTGATGAAAAGTTCTTAGCAAACATTTCGGCTTTGTCTTTAGGTGAGGTGACAAAGTCTGAACCATACAAAAGAAGTGGAATTACAGACTTGCCCTTATTATTGATACTATTAAAGATTCTCCAGAAATCACGAGAGCCTAACTTTTGAGATGAAATATGAGATTTCATGATCTGAGAATAGGGGGCTTCGGCATTAGACAAAACCTTTTTACAATGGTTCCTAGCAGTAATAAAGAGACGTCTGTTTTCTGGAGAATTGTTTTGCTAATAGATATGGAAGTAATGGTTTCGATTGGCAATTGCAGCAGCACAATGTGAGAAAAACCATGGAGAAGGGTGAGGCTTGACCTGGTATCATCTAGAGGGAATAAAGGATTCCATGCCAGCCCGAACCCACAAAGTTATGTAAGAAACACATTTGTCAACAGGAAGACGAAGATTTTTACCCAGGGGCCATCATAAAGGAAATCACAGAAAGAGTCCCAGTCAGCTTTAAGGTAGTTGTAAGATGTACGATGATAGGGGGGATTCTGATGATTAAAAAGAACGAGATAATAGTTTTAGAGAGACCAAATCATGATCGGAGGCACCTAAGGGTGAGTGTGGAGAAACTGAGCACTAACTAGATTCAGAAACAAGACATAAGTCGAGTAGAGAAGGTAAATGATTCGGGTTATCTGGAAAGCAAGTTGGAAAGTTGACTATTTGAGTTAGGAATTGAGAAAGCCAAAAGTTGAGACCTTTAATGCCTGCAGAGTCACTGACACTAGAACCAAGCCATTCAGTGTGATGAATATTAAAGTCACCGACAACAACAATATTGGCTGATGGATAAACAGAGAGGGCTTGGTCAATATGATCAGAAATGACATCAAGAAGAGTGCAGTCTTGAGATGAGGGAGAGTGATATAGAACAAAGAGAAAGGTGATAGAGTGAAGTGGTGCGAATCGGAAGCACATAAAAGAGTAGTTTGTGGATTCAAACCTAGTTTTCCGACAAATGGGTAAATTCTTACGAATGTAAATGCCCAGGCCAAGCATGTGACTATTGGAGTCTTTACGAATTAAAGGAAGATAACCATCATCACTAAGATCACAAGATGAGACAGCTGAACTCAAATTAGTCTCTCAAAGGGCAAGTAGGTCTGGTGAACTTTGCAAGAGATAAGACTCAACAGAAGAAAAGTTACTTCAAAGACCACAAATCTTAGTGATTGATAGGTTTAGCGAACTTAGTGATGACTGTGGTTTTTTGTGTTTTATAGTTTTTGTTACTTTATTCATTTTTAAATTTGTTAAAGAACTTGACTCGAAACATAGATAGTACTCAGTACACTGTTTTATAGCCCAAGCAATTGCCTCATTTCTATTAATAAACTTTTTTTCAATTATTTTAGTTGTTTTATATATTTTTATGGTAGTTTTGAGCCCACGGCCCTAGGGCCTGAAAACTATTGATTCACTTTAATTTGTTGAATGACCACTCTCCCAAACAGTCTGTAGCAGCTATACAGAAAACACTTGTTATTAGATTTAATTGTTTAGAAATGTGAACTTGAGATTCTTGGACGAATGATTTTGTTCCAATAAATGGAGTCTGGTTTTTAGGATTTATTTTCCATTTTTATTGTCAACCAAAATTTTTGTTGGAAAGATGCTTCTGAAATGGATACACTCATTTCTAAGCTAATTTTCTGCTTTCTAATTCATTCATAAGCTGATCAATAATCATGTTGACCTCAAACATAGTTATAGATTTTTCTGTTTAGGTGTTGACTTAAACGCTAACAGTTTCTTTTTAGCGCCACTTGCAACCCTGTCAGCATATAATATTCATAGTCAGGGATGTGAAGTTCTATTAATTTTTAGGAACTCAGGATTCAAAAAATAGCGAATTAGGAAATCGAATCACAATTTTTTATTTTTTTAATTTTTATGACAATGAACCAGTGTTTTTAGGGATAAAATAATATCTGAAATGCTGGAGGTACTCATCTTTCTCTTATTTTATACCCAAAAATACATAATTAGTTAAACAACCCACAAAAAATAGTGGGTTGTTTAACTAATTATTTATTTTTGCATAATTAGTTAAACAACCTTTTAACTAATTATGCAAAAATACATAATTGTTCAACTAATTATGTATTTTTGCATAATTAATGAGAAAAAAATGAATTTTTTTTTTTTTCATTAATTATGCAAAATCTTTTTTTTATTTTAATCAAAACTTATGAAAAACCAGGATACACAACAATCTAAATAAAAAATTTGGACCATTATGATCACCTTAAGCCAAATAATTTAGGAACAATTTGGGCATTTTTCAGAGTATTTTGCCGATTGAGCACAAGGTAAACGCCAATATTGTTGGAATTTTTTTGTCATCGCGTTTTGAAAATTTTATTTTTTTGAACACCCCTACTTGTCATGTGCAGTGTAATTCAATACATTCATGTTTTTACTGCTTTAAAGTTACGTAACTGCTGGCTAAACAACTTTAAATTAATAAACTTATAAAAGTTGATAAAAATTTAATTTAGTTAGGTAACGTTTTTATGCTGATATAAAATTTTAAAAATCCTGGAGTCCTGGAACCAAAAGTTTTTATGACAAGCGGATTCTTAGCCTCATTGGTAATATAATGGATATGTAGACAACATGCACAGTGATGCTGTTTATGTTTACAATAAATTAAATGGGTTGGAGTAAAAACAAAGTTCTCTCTCTTTTTTTATTTTTTAAATTATCTTTAGATTGATTCATTTGATTGGAATGAAGAAGAAACAAAACCAAAAAAGAATGAAAGTGATTCAGGTGACAGCTCTGAAGATGAGAAAAAAGCAAAGGTTTTTATTTTATTAGTTTATAAGAATTAAAAATTTAAACAACCTATTTTTGTGAAGATAAACTTAGTAAAGACTTTTTGAATGTTTTCATTAAATGAATAGCAAGTAGTTTTAAATAATTTTACACTTCTGCTTAGAATATATGTATATATTATTTATAACTATGTTTAATAAAATATATGTATATATTATTTATAATTATGTATAACAAAATATATGTGTATATTATTTATCATTATCTATAACAAAATATATATTATTTATAATTATGTATAACAATATACGTAAAAGTTATGCTAAAATGATAATAAAAGAAAAATAATAACAACAGTGTAGGAGAGAGCAGGGTTGGTTGTCACAAAGTTTATTACAGGAAATGTAGATAAGGTTTAGAACTTTAAAGTCATAAGAACTTTAAAGTCATAGTAATAAGACTATTTTTGTCTTCTTTTTGCCCAGGCCATGTAAATATTTATTTATACATTTTGGTATTGTAGCAATATTTAAACGGCAAAATATATACATATTTAAAAAAAAAAATGTGTATAAATTTAAATCCAATGATCCAATGTTTAATAAAATTATAGAAAAAGGAAACAGAAGTTCAACTATTTGTGGATTTGTTTGTACAACTATCTGTTGTTTTGTTTGTGCATTATTTATATTTAGTGGATATATATATATATATATATATATATATATATATATATATATATATATATATATATATATATATATATATATATATATACACCCTTACTAAAGCATGTTTTGATAAGCATTTGCTCACTTTTTCTGCTTACCTTAAGCTATATCGTTTTTTTCGAAAAAGAAGAAAAAACAAAAAATGATGAATAAAACGATTGCTTCCCCATCCCAAACCCTCAGTATATATATGTATATATATGTATATATACATATATATATATATATATATATATATATATATATATATATATATATATATATATATATATATATATATATATATATATATACAAATATATATATATGTATATGTGTATACATATGTATATATATATATATATATATATATATATATATATATATATATATATATATATATATATATATATATATATATATATATATATGTATGTATGTATGTGTATATTCGTCTCCCTGTTGACAAATGTGCTTCTTACATAACTTCATGGATTCAGGCTGGCATGGAATCCTTTATTCCCTCTTGACGATTCCAGGTCAAGCCTCACTCTTCTCCATGGTTTTCCTCACATTGTGCAGCTGCTATTGCCAATCGAAACCATTACTTCCATATCTATCAGCAAAACAATTCTCCAAAATACAGAGTCTGAGTAATAAAACAGTCTGTTTATTACTGCTAGGAACCATTGTAAAAAAGTTTTGTCTAATGCCGAAGCCCGCTATTCTCAGATCATGAAATCTCATATTTCATCACAAAAGTTAGGCTCTCGTGATTTCTGGAGAATCTTTAATAGTATCAGTAATAGGGGCAAGTCTGTAATTCCACCTCTTTTGTATGGTTCAGACTTTGTCACCTCACCTAAAGACAAAGCTGAATTGTTTGCTAAGAACTTTTCATCAATATCATCTCTTGATGCCACTAGTTGCGTTCTACCTGATATAGCCGTCAAACAGGTTGATCCATTGCTTGACATTGGTATCACGCCAGCATCTGTATCTAAAGTGATTTCCCGCTTAGACTCTTCTACAGCTTGCGGCCCGGACAACATACCTGTTATAGTCTTGCAGAAGTGTTCTCCGGAGCTGTCGTCTATCCTTTCAAAACTATTTAACAAGTGCTTATCAGAGTCTTGTTTTCCAGCCTGCTGGAAAGCAGCATCTGTTATCCCTATTTTTAAAAATTCTGAAGAGCGATCCAATTCGTCTAACTACCGTCCCATTAGCCTTCTTCCTATCATAAGCAAGGTTTTTGAATCTTTAACTAACAAACACTTAATCTCTCATCTCGAATCTCATAACCTACTTTCTGATCATCAATATGGATTTCGATCATCTCGTTCTACGGCTGATTTGCTATCAGTAATAACCAATAGGTTTTATCGCACATTAGACAAAGGTGGAGAGGTTAAGGCCATTGCTCTTGACATTTGTAAAGCGTTTGATAAAGTTTGGCATGCTGGTTTTCTCCATAAGCTTTCTTCTTACAGTGTATCTGGAAACATCTTTAAGATTATTGAATCCTTCCTTTCCAATCGTAGTATTAAAGCTGTCCTTGATGGACAGCACTCTTCTTCTTATTCTGTAACCTCAGGGGTTTCCTTAGGTTCAATCCTTGGCCCTATACTCTTTTTAATTTACATTAACGATCTTCCAGATATTTTCACATCTAAGGTGGCATTGTTTGATGATGATACTACCATTTATTCTTGTCACGATAAGAAGCCAACTCCCTCTGATTGCTTGCAGGGGGCATCTGAGCTTGAAAAGGATCTCACATCTGCTACAGCATGGGGCTCACGGTGGCTGGTGAACTTTAATTTAGATAAAACTCAATTTTTTTTTGGCCAATTGTTATCGCAATAGTTTAGACCTTCCTATGTTTATGAACGGTAATGTACTCGATGAGTCTCCTACCCTTCATCTTCTAGGATTAACTCTCACTTCTGATCTTTCTTGGAAACCTTATATCAAATCCGTTGCAAAATTAGCATCTGCTAAAATTGCATCTCTTTATCGAGCTCGACACTTTCTTACTCTGGATTCTATTCTCTATCTCTATAAATCTCAAATCCGGCCTTGTATGGAATACTGTTGCCATATCTGGGGCGGATCTTCTAATGATGCCCTTTCTCTTTTAGACAAGGTGCAAAAATGCATTGTAAACATAGTTGGACCTGCTCTTGCAGCCAACCTTCAACCTCTGTCACATCGTCGTAATGTTGCTTTTCTTTCTCTTTTCTACAAATACTATAATGGGCACTGCTCGAAAGAGCTAGCGTCTCTTGTGCCATCTACTAAAATTCATTCTCATGTTACTCGTCATTCAATTAAGTCTCATCCTTTTTCTGTTACTGGTCCTAAGTGCTCCAAAAATTCTTATTCTTCTAGTTTTTTCCTCGAACATCAGTTCTTTGGTATTCGCTTCCTTCATCTTGCTTTCCTGATTCATATAATTTGCAATCTTTTAAGTCATCTGTCAATCGTTATCTTGCTCTACAATCTTCATCTTTTCTCTTCCAGTAACTCCCAACACTAATTAGTGGTTGAAGATAATTAAATATATATATATATATATATATATATATATATATATATATATATATATATATATATATATATATATATATATATATATATATATATATATGTATATATATATATATATATAATATATATATATATATATATATATATATATATATATATATATATATATATATATATAATGTTTTGTGTATACATCATTTGCATACAAATAAGATGTTATATACATATATTATATATATATATATATTATATATATATATATATATATATATATATATATATATATATATATATATATATATATATATAATATATTAATATTATTATTTTATTATAAATTATTTTTAATAATGATTATTACTATTAATATTGTTGTTGTTGTTTCTACTCTACTGCTATAGTAGTTAAATAAGTTATTTAAAAAAATTGTTTTTTTTTTAATGTTTAATCTCAATTTGAACGCCATAATTAAGATTGTTTTATTATACTCAAGTTTTCTTTCAGTTTAGTATTAAATGATGTTAACAGGTTTTTAAGTAGTTGAAGAAAAAGTTAGTTTTTGAGTAATTGGAATAAACTTTGAAAAATATAAAGATGTCAGCATGAAATAAACTTTTTGTTGGCTCTACTATAATCTTAAATAAAACGTTTGTGAACTAATTTGTTTGGAAATATTTCTTCAAAGCTTCTCTTTAAATTTATTATAAAAATTAGCTAAACTTCAAACTGTGTCTACTAAAGACTCATCATTTGAAAAAAATTTTGTATTAAAGTTGATTAGAAGAAGTATATAGCTTTGTCATTCAGTTTTGGTGTTTTTGTTGTTGAGATGTGTGTTTATTTGTAATGATGAAGTCCTAAATAAAAGTTTACTTAGGTATGCACTATGAAACTTTTTTTAAAAATATTTAGGTTGAAGCCAAAAAGACAAAACGACAAAAAAAAGCTGCAAAAAAAGCAGAAGAAGAATTTCTCCATAAGGTTTTTTTTTTCTTTTTTCAGTTAATTTTGAAAGTTCATTTTAAAATTATCAACGCACTAAAAAAAAAAATAATAACAATTTTTATAATCTGCAATTTAATAATAAATGCAAGCAATCAAAATAAAAGTTAAAGTACTATTGTTATCGTAAAAATATTTTAGGCCGAACTTGCTTTACTTGATACTGATCGACATGTCGATAGTTCAGAAGATTTTGACCGACTATGTTTGGGTTCACCAAATAGCTCTATTATTTGGATTCAATATATGGCTTTTCATTTGCATTCAGTAGAAATCGATAAAGCAAGACACGTTGCACGAAAAGCTTTACAAACTATATCATTTAGGTAAAGACTTACGTAAATTTATTGCATGGCGTGGAACGTTTCAAATACTTATGTTTGTTTTGGGCTATTGTAACTATCTTAAATTTTATTGATAGGGAAGAGCAAGAGAAGTTAAACGTTTGGGTAGCACTTTTGAACTTGGAAAATATGTATGGAACCAATGAATCATTGGAAAAGGTTTTACATGAAGCAGTTCAAACCAATGATCCAAAGAAGATTTATTTAAAAGTGTTAGATATTTTTGCTAGAACGAATAAAATCACGGTAAAATCAATTTTGTTTGAATGTTATTGATTGTTTTTATAATATTGAACATTGAAAATGTGATCTTTTTTTATTTTATTTTATAGGAAGCTGAAAAATTATATCGCATTGTTTTAAAAAGGTTCAAAGGTAGTAAAAGTGTTTGGATTAGTTATGGGTTTTTTCTTATGAAATGTGGAAAATTGGAAGAAGCAAGAAATCTTTTACAGCGCTGCCTAAAATCTTTGCATGAAAGAAAACGTTTGTTGTTTTTTTATTGTTGTTGTTTGTTTTAAATATTTGGGTATTAAATTTTTCTCTTCTAGTTATTATATATTTTTTGTATATTCACTTTGCGTCATGGTACTTTTATTTTTTATCCAGATATTGCAACAATTGTTCAGTTTGCTCTTATGGAGTATAAATTTGGGGAGCCACAGCGTGGGTCGACAATACTAGAAAGTGTGTTAAAGAACTATCCGAAGCGCTCTGATATATGGTCCATATATATTGATATGACAATTAAAATGGGTGACTACGAGCAAGTTCGGTATGAAATTATTTTTTCGGTTGACATAAAACTTATAAGAGTTGTGTTAGGTAGTACTGAGGGTTTTTTTTTTCTATGGCATTTTATATTTGTTTAAATGTAACAAAAATTTTTCTGAATGTTAATTATTTATTATTAAAAAATAAAAATGTCTTTTCAATCAAAAATTTCAATAAAAACATTTAAATTAAATTTTATTTTCAATTAGTTAAATGCTTAAAACTAAAATAAATCTGTTAAATTAAGTTTAGTTACTATTTTTTAGAAATAACTAAAATGATTATTGTTTGTCTTTATTTAGGAATATTTTTGAACGTGTAACCACGTTAAAAATGAGTGCAAAAAAGATAAAGTTTATGTTTAAACGTTATTTGGAGTTTGAACAAAAATATGGCAACAAAACGACTATCGAAGCTGTAAGGAAGCGAGGAAATGATTATGTTGAAATGAATGACAACGAATAATAATACAATTTTACAAAAATATATTATTTTTATAAAAGATTTCTTCGCTTTTCTTGCTTATTTGTATATCTATTTTTATCTAGTTATGAAACAATATCCATTTCTATCTAGTTAAGTAACATTTTTTTTTTTTTTTTGACATTTTAAAAGATCAAGAAATAAATTAATTGCTCTTTTAAGTTTTGTTTACGTGTCAGCGACCCCAAAGCATATGTAATCATTAAATACCCTCTTGTAATACCCTAAATCACTCTGCGCCCCCAATTTTTTTCCAGATATGTCTTGATTTTTTGAAGTTTTCATTTTTATTTTACTACTTTACTATTTTTTTAGTGTGACAGTATAAAAAAGTTTTTTATATGATGCTAAGTTGTTTAAGAACTGAATTAAAAGTATATCTCACCTTTTTTTAAAATTTTCACCTTTTTGTTTTGTATTAAAGTTTAACGTCAGACTACGGCATAGTTTTTGGATATCGGAATTAAAAGAGTGTTAAAATAAAAGTCTATTCAGTTGTTAAAAGTTCTGCATTATTTATTCTTATTAAGAAGACGAATGAACAAGTTTAGTTAATTTTGTGTGATCCAGTTTGAAATTTCCTCCTTTTTTATATAAAGTAAACGGAACTTGGTTGGGTAAACCCGATCTCAAACTGGTTAAGAGTTTGTGCAATGACTTTAAAATTTGAGATTTTTTTATCCTCATTTGAACAATTGAGTAATGCAAAAATTGATTGTGTGGTATCCAATCTTGATCCGGCACTGATTGGATACCACACAATCAATTTTTGCTTCGATATTTGCCATTTTTGTTCAAACGTTATTTGGATTTTAAACAAAAATATGGCAACGAAACGAGACGCAATCTACTAATCTCAGCAGACGCAGACGATTCCAACAGAAAAGCTCTTGATTTTTGAGAATTTTTTGACAGCTTTTGTGACTGTTAAATCCATCCTTCTTATTGCTGAAATTGCCATTGAGCCTCCATCTCCAAACGCTGCAAATTTCATTTTGATTACATCAGAAGCAATAAGTTCTTCTACATGGGAAACTTAAAAATTTTCACGCTTTTACTAGCCCACAAGGTGGTAAAAAGTCTTCGGCTGCAACTAAAGGTCTTCCTACTTGAAAAAGAACAGCCTTAGCTGATCCTTCGTTCTTTAAAATAAAGAACTTCACAAATAAGGCAACAGTAAAAAGGATTTAATTTTATCAGAGTCATAAGAATAACTTTAGAAAAATTAAAAAGCCAGGTAAATTACTATTTGATTTTTCAATCTTAAGAAGAATTAGTCTATATCTAGCACAGATAGCAGAAGGTTAATGTTCTTCATTGGGCTTCTCAATGAAGTATTTCTGACTTCTTGGAAATATCGAGTCTCTTCCAGGTGGCACCACATCTGTTCCTTTTTGAAAACAAACCAGAAATACTTTAGCAAAATTTTTATAATGTGATAGTCTTGTTAGACATTGTGACAATAGATTTGACAACTAATATTTATGCACTACTGTAAGTCTAGATTTTCACAGAAATGACAAATGCAAATTAAGAACGTTCAAATATACAAATATTGACTTTTTTTTCATAAAACCATAAATTTTTATTAGTATTGCTTTTTTCTTGACTAAATGCCAAAAAAAAGTATTTTACTTTAAAGTTTTATCAATATGGAGCTATTGTGAAAATCATCTCTATGCATATACCTAAAACCTAGTACAAAAATTTTCTGAGGAAAACATTTTTTACCTTGATGGTAATTCCGTGTCTATATGTAATATAAACTACTACCAGTGAGGTAGTGGTATAATCATAGAGGGCTTCTTTGTAAGCAAAAATTTCCGAATTCCAACCCATTACGTCCCTGGTTATACTACACTCAACTTGTTTCTCCGGGAAGCGATCTTATATGTCAAGGTTCGTGTTTCGAATTTAAAGCGTTGCGAGAGGGTTATAATCACAGTTTTAAAAAAAAAAGTAATTTTTTTGATTGTAGTGGCCTCCTTGGCCTTGAGAAGACAAATTCATTAAATTAAAATATATATATGATGCATAACGCGTCGATTTTTAAAACAAATGTAAAAATTAAATAATTATTAGAACAATAAATTTTTAATTACATTATTAGGTAACTTAATCTATAAAAACTTTGTGTTTTACCTTTTACTATTTAAACAGTGCTCGAAAAGGGAAAAAAACTTAACGGGTTGGTTTTCAGATGTTTCAAAGTACAACTAAAATCATTGCTATACACATCTATACTTTAAAAGGTCACCCCGTCCTGTCTTACTTGGAGTACAAGATTTAAATATTTAGTAACTGCTGTTGTTTGATGAAAAAACAGTTTAAAAATACAGTACAGCAGTACAGTAAAAAACAAAATTTAATAAACACCACGCAGTAAATTAGTATTCCAGTTTTTTTGTGTAAACAGGCTATAAAAATGTGTTTAAAAATAATGATTGCGTAAGAAAAATCTTAAAAAGTGTAAAAAAAGAAAATTACCACCACCACTGCGCTAGTTAATGACCATTCTCCCCAATGTGCTAGTTCGAATCTTCATCTAACCCTAGAATTACAACAACCTTATCAATAAATTTTTATCATTGAATCTACTCTCCTTAATTATTTAGCTCTTCCCTTTTTGCTAAAAAATAAGTATGATATTTAGTCTCAGCATTTTTTTAACTAAACATGTGTTTCGAAAAAATACACTGCATTGGGAAGTCATTGCAACACAAATTTCTTTTTATACCGTAAAGTTTTATATACATTGTTCTTATTATTATTATCTTAATAAAATCTTTTAAGTAGATCACTTGTTGTAAAATATTTATTTTTTAACCTAAGGCTTAGGTTAAAAAAAATATTTCACAACAAGTGATCTACTTAAAAGATTTTTTTAAGATAATACCACCAGAATTTTTGTTGGGAAGGGCGGAGGGATATTGATCGACCCCTGGATCCGTCGCTGGTAATTATGTAAAACATAAATTATATTAAAAGTATCATATGTTTATTAAAAAAAGAAAACGAAAAAAAAACGCGTATTGAGACGTGCATGTTTTTCGTTTGATTGTTTACATGTAGAACAACAAAAATACGCAATTATTTGCAAGTATTTAACCGAACAAATTAAAAAACGGAACAAATCCAATGGAAGTTATAGTTAAAATGTTATTGTTTTGTTCAATTCAGACTAAAAATGAAATCCACAACTTAGAGATCAGCTACATAAACACTTTCATAACAAAAAAATGATTTTTATAGTAAAAGAAACAATATTTTATGCAGCCATCAGTAAAAGTGATTCATTGAAAAAATTTATGTGGTATTTTGGCCTGCCCTTGTGTGTATTCATGGCGCCGCACAGAATAGCTTTCAAACTGGACAAAATGAATTATTTTTTTTTGGATTATTAGGCTAAATTATTTTAAGAACTTTTGTTAGACAGGAAAAATTACTCCATAGATTTTTAAACATTTACTTACAATTATCAGACGTCTTAAATGTATTTTCGAGTAATTTCGAATAAAGTTTTTTAAAAAACCAGTAAGTGATAATAGAAAAAAAAAAAAAATCAAAAGCCTGCGTAAATAAATAATATTAAAACCTATTCTGCCCGATTCAACAAAATAAATAACAGTAATTATCTGCAATTTTCAACAAAATAAATAACAGTATTATTAAATGCAGTTACAAATTCAATAAAATAAATAACAGTATTATTATCTGTAATTATCAGCAATTTCATATAAAAAATTTGAAACTGTATCTAAGTGATAAAACGAAAAGCACATTATTTGAAAAAACTAAATAAAAATAAAATATTTTAAATGCACTTTTTAAAAGACCTATTACAATTAAATTTTTCAATGAATCATTTTTACTGATGGCTGCGTAAAATATTGTTACTTTTTAACTATAAAAATTATTTTTTGTTATGAAAGTGTTAATTTTGTTATGAAAGTGTTTATTTTAATGTTTATTTTAAACACTTTAAAATTATTTTTTTTATTAGCAAAAGATAGCGGCAAACCTGAAATTGAAGAATCCCTGAAAAAAAAATTGAAACTTCAGCTTTAACACTATAAAAACAAAGTAGTATTAATAACTTGCGCAAGCGAGTTATTTTTTAAACAAAAGAAATAAACTAAATTATGGGCTCTACAGGGTTAAAGGTCAGTCATATCCTAAAAAAAAACACCTGGAGAAAATGGACCAGAGACTCTCTTATACCTTACCACCAAAAAATGTTTAATAACACTTTTTTTCATTTTTGTCGAATGTCCAGTTTTAAAGCAGTTCTACCCCATTGTGCGCCGGTTTTTATTTAATAAGGGTCAAAAAAAAAAGTCATGTTTTATGCTATTTTATGTTTGTTTGTTTTTTTAATTTATTTTATGTTAAATTTAACAAATTTGGAAAAAAAAGTGGGGCTGTAAACTAAAATAGCCAATTTTTTTAGAAAAATTAATATATAATTTGAGGAGCCCACTCGGTGTAGTTAAGTCGATTAACAAACAATTCGAATTCTTTTTTTTGGAATTAGCATGATTTTATCATGTGTATTATGTTCAAACAAGAACTTTGAATGTTATAATATTTTTTGCTTCAGGTTTTTTTAATATTTAAAAAAAATTTTTTTTTTTTTTTTTGTGTACAATTTTCAAAACCTTTTTACTACCCCTACTAGTAAATCTAAAGAACACCATTTTGGAGTCTTTAGATAACTTTCGCTCATCGGCGTTAACATGAAATTAGTTAAAATCTTTTGAAAAAGTGCCTTAACCCACTATAGATCCTAGTTCTAATCGGTTCTAACGTGTTTTAACTCTATATAGTTGTCAAAATACAATGCTTCAATTAATTTTGACAAAAAAAACTAGAATTCCGACCAAGAAAGAGCTTAAGAAAAGAAAAATTAAGAAAGGTTGCCAATAAACAATCAAAACAGATCATATTATTAAACTATGATGTTCATTTCACCTAAAAAATGTATTTATTTAAAATCTTACTCAAATTTGGATAAGTGATTGTAATTTTAAAAGACTGTTTGTTTTTATATACATATATATATATATATATATATATATATATATATATATATATATATATATATATATATATATATATATATATATATATATATATATATATATATATATATATATATATATACAGCGAAAAAACCAAAACCTTCGGTTTGGGTTTTTTCGCTGCAAACATTTATATTTTATGATACCGCAAAACCTACCATTTTGATTTTTTTCGTCTTTTCATAATTCACAGACCTGTTCATTTAACGGAAATAAGTCGTAGTCAACAAAAATAATATTCTA